TTAACACTGCTACTCAACAGTTTTGTGCTTTGAGCAGTTACTTGACCTCCCTGGCCCTCAGTTTCCCCACCCATAAAGTGGGGGCAACAGTACCTATTTCATCAGGTGGTGGGTATGATTTAAATTGGTTAATAATGTGAAGTTCTTAAAAGTGTCTGGCTCAGAGTAAGCACCATACACGTTAGGGGAAAAAAAAGCAGCGGGATGTAAGGCCCTCCCCAATTTCGTTACTCCATAAACCCCTAAGTTGCTGGTAACACCTGCAGGAGTGAGAGGGGCTTCAATATGGGCTGAATTTCCAGTCAAACTGTGGAAAGTGGCTGAGATTTTAGGTAGGCAAAAAATGTTAATGTAACATTTTTGGCCCCCAAGTTCTCAGACCACTTACTTCCCTTTCTAGTCCATTGACATGCCCGCAAGCAATTCCATTCTGCCAAGAGGTGCTGGTGGTAAGCCCAAATCCAAGAAAAGGAAAGACTCCGATTTTAAGGGAACGGGGACCTGCGGAGCCACGTGAGTCACCGGGGCTCTCAGCTCAGCAGTCAGAGCGCATTCATCACTGCGTTCGAGGTTAGGTGGGCTGGCCTGGGAACCAACTCACCATCATTTGAAATCGTTTCAGGGAAAATGACCCCAACACTTAAAATCCTCTGTCCTGAAGTTGTGTGATCCAGCTGTTTGCTGAAGGAGGAAGCAAAGCCGATAGTAACTCACTACATATTTGGGCAGTGGAATGAACCCTGGAAGCTGACAAAGACGAAGAAAGTCACCGCGCCTCACCCGACCCGCCGCCCCCCACCCCTACTCCCACTCCCACCCCAAATACAGAACAACAGACAATCTTTCAATTATAAAGACAACCCCGGCGCCCGGGTCTCCGGCAGGGGTCGCTGCAGCCGAGCAGAACGCTGAGCCGCTCTGCCCCGCGGCCTCCTCTCCAGCCCGGCGCCCGCCTCCTGCAGGTGCGTCCTTGCCCTCGCCGGGCCGGGGTCTCTGCGGCCTCTCCGGCTCTGGCTCCAACTCCTGGGTCCCGACCGAGCATTGCTCTCGCGGGGCTGCGCGCACCGCCCAGGGCCGGCCGCCGGCTGGCGGGAGGAGGTAGCGCTGGTTCGCGGTGCGCATGCGCCGCCCGGCCTCTGCCCTGCGGTCCTGGGCTGGTGACTGGGTAGCGGTTGGAGAATGGGATGTGGGGGATGGTGGGTGGTACGGAGAGCTGGGAGGGAGGCACCCCGGGGGGCGGGGCGTGGGAGACTGTCTTCGGGGGCGCGAGCTGCCCCAGGTGGGCCGTGCCTCAGGTCGGGTGCGCGGTCGGGACACAGCGCCTCTAGGAGAAAGCCTGGAAGGCGCGCTCCAGGGGGACCCCGAGCTCTTAGCGGGCCGGCAGCACTTGCGGGGCCCAAGGTCATCCGGGCTCTGCGTGGGGTCGTTGCGGCTGGAGATCAGGGAGGGGGCAGGAAACGGAGTTGGAAAGTAATCCCGAGCGGGTGGGCCTGGGAGGCCGCTGTGCTGGGGAGCTCTACGAGGGCTCCGAACAGAGCCTCCCTTTTCAGAAAGGTCACCCTGGTCACTGCGGCAGCCAGGATGACCGAGGAAGGTGGCCGGGGTGGAGGCAGTGGGCGTGGAGAGGGGTGGGATTCCGGACGTAGTTTGAAGGTCGAGCCGTCGGGATCTGCTGAGCAGCTTGGCTATGGGGCGTACGAGAAGGGAAGGCTCAGGGCCTAGTCCCTGGGCCCGAGTAGCAGCCGGGAGGATGGTGCCCCAGTGCTTCGGGAGGAGGAGGCTTGAGGACGGCTCTGGAGCTCAGGCTTGCCCGCGTGGAGTGGAAGCTGCCTCTTGGACACGGGGCAGGGAGGCCGCAGGCAGTTTGGAGCGCTGGGAAGATGGGAGATCCAGAGGGGCAGGGCTGGAGGGGTAGGAGGAAAACCTGAAGAGGGTGGCGCCCGGAAACCCGGGAGAGTGATGAACTGGGTCAGAGGCCGGCTGTCAACAAATAGGAGGGTGGAGACGACCTTGAGGAAAGCAGATGATGGAACGGGAGGGAGTGGCGCCCCCTAGGAGAGACACCTGGGACTGATGTATTGCATTTATTTAGCTCATAGGCGTTCAAAAAGTATTTATTCGGAGCCTGTACAACTTTTTGCAGTTCATTGCATTATAGTTAGCATGTATTATGTTTTATATAAATAAATATATAAATATATATTTTTATATTTATGTAATTATTGACAAATTTATATATACAATGTAATGTTTTGATATACGTATACATTTGTAGAAAGATTAAATCAAGCTAATTGACATATCCATCACCTCACCTACTTATTTTTTGTGGTGAAAGTCTACTCTCCTGGAAATATACAATACGTCATCAACCGTGGTCACTATGCTGTGCAGTAGACCGCTAAAACTTAGTCCTCTTATCTAACTAAAACTTTGTATCCTTTGACCACCATCCCTCCCTTCCCCATCTGCCCTCCCCCAGGCCCCTGGTAACCATCATTCTACTCTGCTTCTATGAGTTCAACTTTATTAGACCCCAAGTATATAAGTGAGATCATATGCTATTTGTCCTTCTGTGCCTGGCTAATTTTACTTGGCCTAATGTCCTCCAGGTTCATCCACGTTGTTGCAAATGACAGAATTGCCTTCTGTTTTAAGACTGTATAGTATTCCATTGTATATATGTGCCACATTTTCTTTATCCCGTCTTCAGTTGATAGATACTTAGTTGCTTCTGTATCTTGGTTATTGTGAATAATGCTGAAAAGAACACAGGAATGCAGATATCTCTTCAACATACTGATTTCAATTCCTTTGTATATATACCCAGAAGTAGGATTTCTGGGTCATATGGTAATTCTATTTTTAGATTTTTGAGGAGCCTCCATACTGTTTTCCAAAATGGCTGTACTAATTTACATTCCACCAACAGTGTACCAGGGTTCCCTTTTCTCCACGTTCTGGACAACACTTGTTGTCTTTCATCTTTTTTATAATAGCCATTCTAACAAGCGTGAGGTGGTAGCTCAGTGTGATTTAACTTGCATTTCCCTGGTGATTAGCGATGTTGAGCATTTTTTCATGTATTTGTTGACCATTCATATGTCTTCTTTTGAGGAATACCTGTTCAGGTCCTTTGTCCATTTTTTAACTGGGTTATTCGTTTTGTTTTGTTTTGCTATTGAGTTTCTTATATATTTTAGATATGAGCCCCTTATCAGATGCATGGTTTGCAAATATTTTCTCCCAGTCTGCGGATTGTCTCTTTACTCTGTTAATTATTTTCTTTGCTGTGCAGAGGCTTTTTAGTTTAATGCAATCCCACGTGTCTATTTTTGCGTTTGTTGCTTTTGGGGTCCTATCCAAGAAATGATTGCCCAAACTAATACGAAGTTTTCACCTATGTTGTCTTCTATTAGTTTTACAGGTTCAGGTCTTACATTTGAGACTTTAATCTATTTTGAGTTGATTTTTGTATATGGTGTGAAATAAGGATTCAATTTTGTTATCCAGCATGTGGATATTCAGTTTTCCTGATACCATTTGTTAAAGAGACTTTCCTTTCCCCATTGTGTGTTCTTAGCACCTTTGTCAAAAATCAATTGACTGTAAATACTTGGGCTTATTTCTGGGCTTTCTATCCTATTCCATTGGTTGATGTGCCCATTTTTATGCCAGTGCCATGCAGTTTTGATTACTATAGCCCTATAATATATTTTGAGATTAGGGAGTGTGATGCCTTTAGCTTTGTTCCTTTTGCTCAAGACTGCTTTGGCTATTTAGGGTCTTTTGCAATTCCATATGAACTTTAGGATTGTTTTTTCTATTTCTGTGAAAAATATTGGAATTTTGCTAGAGATTACATTGAATCTGTAGATTGCTTTGGGTAGTATGGACATTTTAACAACCATTAATTTTTCTAATCCATGAACATGGGATACCTTTACGTTTATTTGTGTCTCTTTTCTCACATCAATGTTTTGTGGTTTTCATTGTACAGGTCTTATACCTCTTTGGTTAAATTTACCTAAAGTTTTTTTTTTTAATGCTATTATAAATGAAATTGTTTTCTTATTTTCTTTTTCATATAGTTTGTTGTTAGTGTATAGAAACACCACTGATTTTTATATGTTGATTTTGTATCCTGCAACTTCCCTGAATTTGTTTATTAGTTCTAACAGTTTTTTTTGGCTGGATCTTTAGGGTATTCCGTATATAAAATCATATTATCATCAAACAGGGATCATGCTGATAACATGGTCTTATATATAGAAATCTCATATATCTTATACATCTATGTCTCTGTATATTATATATTTTATATATCCCTATATATCTCTCTGTATATCTTATATACATCTTATATATATAGATATTATATATCTATATTTTATACAGATATCTATCTTATATATAGAAAACATATATAGAAAAATTCTTCCCTTCCTATTTGGGTGACTCTTACTTTCTTTCCTTGCATAATTGCTCTGGCTAGGACATCTAGTACTACACTGAATAGACATTGTGAGAGTGAGCATCATTGTCTTGTTCCTGATCTTAGAGGGAAAGCATTCAACTTTTTACTGTTGAGTATGATTTAGCTGTGAGCTTGTCATATTTGGTCTTACTGTGTCACAGTACTTTCTTTCTGCACTTATTTTATTGAGAGTTTTTATTATGAAAGGATGTTGAATTTTGTCACATACTTTTACTGCATCTGTTGAGGTAATGATACAGTTTTTGTCCTCCATTTTGTTAATATGGTATATCTCGTTAATTGATTTGTGTATGTTGAGCCATCTTTGCATTCCAGGGATAAATCTCACTTAATCATGATGAATGATGCTTTTAATGTGTCAGTGAATTCAGTTTGTTAGTATTTTGTTGAGGATTTTTCGTCTGTGTTCGTCTGGGATATTGGTCTGTAGTTTTTCTTCTTGTAACGTCCTTGGTATCAGGGTAATACCGGCCTCCTAAAATGAGTTTAGAAGTATTTCCTTCTCTTTAGTTTTTTAGAAGAGTTTGAAAAGAATTGGTATTAGTTCTTCTTTAAATATTTGGTAGAATTCAGGTCATCAGTGAAGCCGTCAGGTCCTGAGTTTTCTGTAAATTTTTTTCTCTCAAATTTCTGATATAATATTTCACTTCTGTCTTTTAGAATTGGTAGGGTGTCTCCCTTTTTCACAGAGAACATACAGGCTTTTAAAAAAAAATCTGTTAGGTGAGTTGCAGATTTCATGAAAAGGCATCATTAAATGACATTACTTGGATTAATGTCAGTTTATAAGAACCTGCCTAGCACCCAGAAAGCTCCCAATGACTGATCAATGAGTTTATTTCCTCCCCTAAGGCCTCTTTTCCCACCTGGAAGATAAAATCAAGGCAGGAGTCTTCACCCAGGGTAGTTTTCACCCCTGAGGCTAGTGGGCTGGATAACCTGAGTCCTCTCTTCTCTAACTCTTACAGTGATGCCCTGGCACCCTTCTGACATTGCTTCTAAATTTGAACAGTGTTGTAACCTTGTGGAAACTAGAACCACTGCCTGCCCTGACCCCCTAGAAAAGCAGATACATGTTGGCACAAAGGATGTTTTCAATAAAGACTTTGTAGTAGTATCTTAAAAGACTATTTAGTAGCAAATACTAAAATGTATTTAGACTTTTAGTCTAGTCTTAAAATACTTTGTAGTCACAAATAAAGACTAAGAAAATAGTTTTATGTTATGAACATTTATGATCTTGGGAATAATTCCAGGCATCATTGTTCTTAATTTCTTTTAAATTCTTAATGACTTACAATCCTACCTTCATGCCTGATAAAAAATATGACAGTTTATTCAGTAGTTTTTTTTAATTCTTTTACAGTAAGTGGAAATGTTTTCTAATATTTAAAATAAAAAATCCTACAGAAGAAGAAAATAATTTTCTGGATCAAATTAGAAGTCTGTATTATATTGTTATCTCCAGATTCAAATATATTAGAAAGCAGCAGTGGAGACAACCATATTCATCTTTGGGAGAAATAAAGATATGTATTAAGCTCAAGATGATAGCCTAAGTAACTTCACACAGCATATAAGAAGCTTTTAGTTACGGTTAGGCAGTACTCAGAGTTTTAATCTTCACACTTTTCAAGACATGCAAGTTTAATAATTGTCATCTGTAACGATATTTTTAAAACTTCATGCCCCTAATTACTGAAGCTGGGTGATGAGAATGTAAGGGTTCCCTATACTACACTGTTTATTTTTGTATATATTTAAGTTTTTCCAGATTTTAACAAAAAACCCACAAACTATAGTAACACCTCATTTGTTCCTTACTGAGTTTTCCAGGTAAATTGAAGTTTGTCAGAAGCTTATCGTGCCCATGCTAGTTGAAGGTCATGGCAATCCATTTTCCCCAAGCTTTCTTTAAATCAAGCACTGGGGTGATATTCATGTTGGTTGGATGTGACCATTGTCACTGAGTCTCGGAGCTGCTCACCAGAGTGGCTGCTGGGGCCCATGAGTCTGTTCGCTTCCCTCTAGCAGCCAGTCTGCCTGCCTTCCCTGCAGAAATGACTTTAGGCCGCCAGACAGCCCTGTCCCCTGAGGTTGTTCTGGAGACACTACACCACGTTTCTCTAACCTGTTCTCTTTTCAGTGTCAATCTTCTTCTGCAGTCTTTTTGATTGCAGAAGAGACAGGATACATTGAAAACGTGTTGACTTGCTTGCTTATTTGCAGGTGAGATTTATCGTATTACTCCTTAGACACTATAAAATTCACCCTTTTTGTTATACAATTCTATGACTGTTGAAAAAAATCACAAAAATATAGTAGAATTTTCCATTGCTCTAAAAATTTCTCTGCTCCCCTTCACTCCCCCGACCCCTGTCCCTGGAAACCACTGATGTGATTTCTGTACCAACAGTTTTGCCTTTTCAAAATGTCTTACAAATGGTCTCAGAACTATGTAGCCTTTTGTATTTGGCTTCTTTCACTTAGCATAATGCTTTTCTCTCTCTCTCTTTCCCTCTCCCTCTCCCTCCGTTTCTTCCTCTCTCTTTCTCTTTCTCTGTTTCTCCCTCACTCTTGCTTCTTGCTCTGGCCTTCTCTCCTTTCTTTGAAAGGGTCTCACTCACCCAGGCAGGGAGTACAGTGGCGCGATCATGGCTCACTGCAGCCTAAAACCTTCTGGGCTCAAGTGATCCTCCTACCTCAGCCTCATGAGTAGCTGGGACCATAGACATGCACTGCCATGCCGGCTACTCTTTTATAGAGACAGGGTCTCACTTTGTTGCCCAGGCTGGTCTCGAACTCTGGGCTCAAGTGATCCTCCTGCCTGAACCTCCCAAAGTCCTGGAATTACAGGTGTGAGCCACCATGGCTGGCCCTTTTTTTTCTTCTTGTTAAGCAGTTTTATTTTGAAATAATTTTAGGCTTACAGAAATGTTGCAAAAATGGTACACAGAGTTCTCATATACCATTTACTCAATTTCCTCTAATGTCCACATCTTACCTAACTAGAGTGTAATGATCTAAACCAGGACAAGTATTACACCTAGACATTTACATATACAGTACTAGTAACGGATTTACAGGCTGCATTCAAATTTCACCATTTGTCCTACAAATGTCCCTTTTCAGATCTTGAATCCAACTGAGGATCCCATGTAGCATTTACTTGTCATGTCTCATTAGGACTTGGGACAGTTCTCCAGTTCTTATCTTTCAAAACTTCGATACTTTTCTGAAGAGTATCGGCCAGTTTTGCTGTAGAGTGTGTAGAATGTCCCTCAACTTGAGTTCGGTGTTTTCTTACAAGTAAATTGCAGTCATGAATGCCACATAGGTGATGCTTTGTCCTTCTCATTGCATCATATGAGGAGGTAGGTGGAGTCACCATGTCTTATTACTGGTGATGTTAACTTTGATCACTTGGTTAAGGTGGTAGCTGCCAGGTTTCCTACTATAGAGTTATTATTGCATAACACTTTTAAAGATTCATTCATGCTGTTGAATGTATTAGCAGTTTGTTCTTCTTATTGCTGAAGAGTCTTCATGGCATGGATAAACCACACTTTGTTTACCCATTTATAAATTTGATGGACATTTGGTTTGCTTCTAGTCTTGGGCCTGGCACTGTCTGATAGGCCTTGGTGTTCTATTGAACATAAACCATGTCACAGAGCATCAGTATCAGACAGGGCCACTCTGACCACAATGGGTCAAGACAAGAACAAGGCCGCCCAGTAATCGTGTCTGAGCGGGCAGAAACTAGAACACTGTTGAAGCCACAAAAATGACAAAACATCCTCCCATGCCGCTAACATGAGGGACTTCTGCTTCTTGGCCACTCACAGCTTTAGCCTCACTTCATTCCTTCCACCTTTTAGATGAGATCCATTACAGCATCCAATCCAGAACAAAGCCCCACTTCCGGGAACCTCTCCCCAACATGATCCAGCACAAGCCCAAATCCTCTGATCAATCCATTCCAGGTTCCTAACAGATGCTGCAGTTCTTCATGGTGTGTTCTCTCTCTTGCAACTTGCTCGAGTGTACAAGTGTGTTCCTTGGACTGGAAGGCATTGACAATCCAAACAATATATAAACACGTATATTGAAAATCCTTGTTTAGTTCTAATCTTACATAGCGTTTCCCACCCTGTACTCAATTCTTTTTACTAATTTTTTGTGAATTCTTTTTTTTTTTTTTTAACAGCAAATGCAAGAAAGTTAAATTCCAGCTATAGGTGGCAAAAGATGTTATGGCAGGGAATACAGATGTTTAAATACGGATGAAATAAAGGGTCACCATCTCCTCAGCCACAAGGAACAGCTTACTTTTTGCCAGATTTCTTAATTCCACCTGTGGCCAAGGGCCCCTTCCCCGCGGCCTTTGCTTTTAGCTCCTTGACTTTCTTCTGCTCCTCTTTTTGTTTCTGCTTGAAAGCCTTATCTTCCTCATCCATCTCCTTGGCCTGCTTGTTGGGCTGTTTCAGTGGCTGCTTCTTGCCACCTTCATGGCCGGACATGGCGCCTGCCGCCCCTTCCCCAGACCCTGCCACCGGAGTTAAGGTATATTCTTTTATCCCCTTGCCTTTCTCTTACAAAATACAATTGTGGTAAAACACATGTAACACAATGTAGCATTCTAACCATTATTAAGGGTACAGTTCAGTACAACCACATTGTTGTGCAGCTCATCCCTGAACTCATTTCCTAAAACTGAAGCTCTACACTCATTATTTTTAAGTAAAATTTGTGTCTAGTAAAATTAACTCTTTGTTAGTATTGAGTTCTATGAGTTTTGACAGATACAATCATGTAACTAACACCATAATCAAGATATATAACAATACCATTGCCTCCCACCAAAAAAAAAAAAAAATTCCCGCATACCCCTTTTTATTCACTCCTCCCCTTTCTGCCAACCACTATTATATTTTCTGCCCCCACAGTTTTGTTGGATAATCAGTATCATTGTTCCAAATGTTGTCTTTCTCTGTGTTTGTTTTCCTTTTATAACATTTCTCAGGTATAGACAAAGATTTACTGAATGTGCCTTAAGATCTATGAGTTTCTTTGACACAATGTCATCTTAATACTATTGTCACAGTACACTTCTTCCCTTCAGAGTTTAGTTCTCAGTTAGAAATTACATTCTCATAGAAACTGTACTTTGGGCTGGGCGCGGTGGCCCATGCTTGTAATCCCAGCACTTTGGGAGGCCTAGGTGGGTGTATGGCTTGAGCTCAGGAGATGAAGACCGGCCTGGCCAACATGGTGAAACCCTGTCTCTACCAAAAATACAAAAATTAGCCGGGCATGGTGGCGTGTGCCTGTTGTCCCAGCTACTGGGGAGGCTGGGGTGGAAGGATTGTTGGAGCCCAGGAAGTCAAGGCTATGGTGGGCCACAATCATGCCACTGCACACCACTGCACTCCAACCTGGGTGATGGAGCGAGACCCTGTCTGAAATAAAAGAAAGAAACTGTACTTTGACCACAAATTGAGAGACTAGTGGTGGTTTTCATACTTTTTTTTTTTTTTTTAATGAGATGGAGTTTTCACTCTTGTTGCCCACGCTGAAGTGCAGTTGTACAATCTTGGCTCACTGCAACCTCTGCCTCCGGGGTTCAAGCAGTTCTCCTGCCTCAGTTTCCCGAGTAGCAGGGATTACAGGCATGCACCACCATTCCCAGCTAATATTTTGTATTTAGTAGAGACAAGGTTTCACCATGTTGGTCAGGCTGGTCTCGAACTCCTGACCTCAGGTGATCCACCCACCTCGGCCTCCCAAAGTGGTGGGATTATAGATGTGAGCCACTGCACCTGGCTTCATACCTTTTGAAAAGCAGCAAGTTTTCGAATGAATTCTCATATCTAACCCTTTCTCGTGCATTTTAGTGGTCCTCAAACTTGAGTAGTTTCTAGAATCACCTGGAAATAGATGATGGGGTCCACCCCCAGAGTTTCTGATTCAGCAGATCTGAGGCTGAGGAACCAGAGGCTGCATTTCTAACAAGATTTCAGGTGATGGCGACGCTGCTAGTCTAGGGAACACACTTTGAGAAGCACTGCTCCAAGGCACCTCTGTACTTCTAGGAGCACTTGAAAATACAAATGGAAAACAGCCAGTTTAGAGGATGATCTGTTACTAAAGATTTTTTAAAGGATGTTCGTGTATGTGTGCATGTGTGTATAATATAATATACATGATGTGTTTCTATAATATAGAAAATATATATATTTATAAATATTTCCATATATAAAACAATTTGCTGATTGCTTCTACAATATTTTTTTTTGTGATTTTTCTAAAGGCCACCTCAAGCATTAGAACTACCAACAAACAACCCTGATGCGACCTCTCCAGATTGTCCCAAGTCGATTGATTTCCCAGCTATTTTGTGGCCTGAAGCCTCCAGCCTCCACACGAAACCAGATTTGCCTGAAAATGGCTCGGCCAAGTTCAAGTAAGTCATTCTTACCCATTGCCTCACCTGCAGCCAAATGTGAAGTACCTGAAAGTCCTACACTTTGAGGGGTTGTCTCTATCAAATTAGGTATTGGGCAAGGTTTTGGAGAAAGCCACTCTGTCCTCTTCTCTCTTTTTTTTTTTTTTTTTTTTTTTGACACAGAGTCTTGCTCTGTCATCAGGCTGGAGTGCAGTGGCGCGATCTCGGCTCACTGCAACCTCCGCCTCCTGGGTTCAAGCGATTCTCTTGCCTCAGCCTCCCAAGTAGCTGGGACTACAGGCGCGTGCCACCACGCTCAGCTAATTTTTGTATTTTTAGTAGAGACGAGGTTTCACCATTTTGGCCAGGATTGGCTCGATCTCTTGACCTCGTAATCTGCCTGCCTCGGCCTCCCAAAGTGCTGGGATTAGTCATGAGCCACCGCACCCGGCCTGTCCTCTTCCCTTTTAGGTAACCCCTTCTGTGGCACCTTCAGAGCCTATATCCTTATACTCAAGTCCATCTAGGACATTTTGTTGCTTCTGCCAGAATATTTGCATTTAAACTTTTTACACATGTTTTGTACTTTAAAATCCTTATCTCTCTGCAGGGGAGGAAAACTGGTTAAAATTTCTCCTGGACAGAAATACTTTGTAGCTCTACGTGGCAAAAACCTACAGATTAACCTATCTGGGTCCTTACAGTGAATATAAATTCTAACAAGTGTTTATAATTCAGTGACTCTTAGGTGGGCCTGTGTAACAGTGCTTCAGAATGAAACTGAAAGGCCAAGCTGGATTCTTTTTGCTTCATTTTCAACTTTTGGATAACTCTTCTGTTCCTGCTCCCATTTTGCCCCAGGAATGGAAAGAAACCAAAAGAACCCAGTTCCACTCAACTGTGCCACCCCTTGGTGTTCCCAGCTGTGCAGAGCAGGCTGCTAGAGTCTGTGGCGGGATTCAGAAGTGTGTGCCTGACCTGGGTTAAAAGTGGGCCGCTGACGGTGGAACCACAAAACATGCTGGCGTGTTTTCCTTTAGCCATTGGGAAATGTCTTTCTTTCTTTTTTTTTTTTTTTTTTGGAGATGGAGTCTTGCTGTGCTGATCAGGCTGGGGTGCAGTGGCACGTTCTTGGTTCACTGCAACCTCCACATCCTAGATTCAAGCGATTCTCCTGCCTGAGCCTCCAGAGTAGCTGGGATTACAGGTGCCTGCCACCATGCCAGGCTAATTTTTGTATCTTTAGTAGAGATGGGGTTTCACCATGTTGGCGAAGCTGGTCTCAGGTGATCTGCCCACCTCAGCCTCCCAAAGTGCTGGGATTAGAGGCATAAGCCACCATGCCTGGCCCTTTTTTTTTTCTTTTTTAAGATTTCACACCACATATTAACATAACTATGTTTTACATCCTGTTTCCTAAAAACCAAATATACATTGACTTTTTTAATATGTTTCTAAAAGTTGCTTTAAGGGGTACCTTAATAGAAGTCACTCTGATCTAGAAATATATTCATCAGGAGGATGACAGTTTCCATTTGGGATAGGAAAGACCTTTAGGGCTGGCGGGAGTTTTAGGGGTAGACTCTGAAGTCCTTAAGGATGTTCCTATGGGTTGAGCCCAGATTCATACAGATAGTTCCTAGAAAAGTATGTGCACGCTTTTTATTAAGCATCTTGTTCTTTCAAGAAATTACATCAGATTAGAAACTGGAATCCACCCAGATCATGTTTGTAGTTTTTCCAAATGCTTCCTGTTTGGAGAACGTTAGTCTGCCTGGAGTAGGCCTTATCTATCTGCTGATAGAGAGCAGCCTATCTCTGGAAGGGATGTGAGTTCGGGCAGAGCTTTAGTGTGATTGGGGGTGTAGTTGGGTTGGGTGCACCTCACAAGAATGGCGTGTTGTGACTGTCTTTTGTTATTCCTTTTTAAAAAAAATTCTTTTAACTTTTTTATTATTTATTTTTAATTATAATTTAAGTTCTAGGGTACATGTGTACAACGTGCAGATTTGTTACATAGGTATACATGTGCCATGTTGGTTTGCTGCACACATCAACTTGTCATTTACATTAGGTATTTCTCCTAATGCTGTCCCTCCCCAAGCCCACCATCCCCAGATAGGCCCCAGTGTGTGCTGTTACCCACCCTGTGTCCATGTGTTCTCATTGTTCAATTCCCACTTATGAGTGAGAACATGTGGTGTTTGGTTTTCTGTCCTTGTGATAATTTGCTGAGAATGATGGTTTCCAGCTTCATCCATGTCCCTGTAAAGGACATGAACTCATCCTTTTTTATGGTTGCATAGTATTCCAGGTGTATATGTGCCACATTTTCTTAATCCAGTCTGTCACTGATGGACATTTGGGTTGGTTCCAAGTCTTTGCTATTGTGAATAGTGCCGCAATAAACATACATGTGTATGTGTCTTTATAGTAGCATGATTTATAATCCTTTGGGTATATCCCCAGTAATGGGATGGCTGGGTCAAATGGTATTTCTCGTTCTAGATCCTTGAGGAATCACCACACTGTCTTCCACAATGGTTGAACTAGCTTACAGTCCCACCAACAGTATAAAAGCATTCCTATTTCTCCACATCCTCTCCAGCACCTGCTGTTTCCTGACTTTTTAATGATCGCTATTCTAACTGGTGTGAGATGGCATCTCATTGTGGTTTTGATTTGCCTTTCTCTGATGACCAGTGATGATGAGCATTTTTTCATGTGTCTGTTGGCTGCATAAATGTCTTCTTTTGAGAAGTATCTGTTCATATCCTTTGCCTACTTTTGGATGGGGTGTTTTTTTCTTGTATATTTGGTTAAGTTCTCTGTAGATTCTGGATATTATTAGCCCTTTGTCAGATGAGTAGATTGCAAAAATTTTCTCCCATTCTGTAGGTTGCCTGTTCACTCTGATGGTAGTTTTCTTTTGCTGTGCAGAAGCCCTTTAGTTTAATTCGATCCCATTTGTCTATTTTGGCTTCCGTTGCCATTGCTTTCAGTGTTTTAGTCATGAAGTCCTTGCTCATGCCTATGTCCTGAATGGTACTGCCTAGGTTTTCTTCCAGGGTTTTTATGGTTTTAGGTCTAACATTTAAGTCTTTACTCCATCTTGAGTTAATTTTTGTATAAGGTGTAAGGAAGGGATCCAGTTTCAACTTTCTACATATGGCTAGCCGGTTTTCCCAGCACCCTGTATTAAATAGGGAATCTTTTCCCCCTTGCTTGTTTTTGTCAGGTTTATCAAAGATCAGATGTTTGTAGATGGGTGGTGTTATTTCTGAGGACTCTGTTCTGTTCCATTGTGACAGTCTTAATTTCTCTCAGCGTTGTGCTGCTAAAACATGAATAGAGCCAGAGAGGAAAAAGCCTACTCTTCTTCTGAGTTGATTTTTATCAGGAGTCCATGGCAGGGAAGAGAGGAAGGGAAGGGGAGGAGGGGTTGAGCCTTTATTGACAGTCTGTATCCTAGACTGGGCATAGTATGTCGCTCTGGGCTTATGAGGATGAGGAAGTCCCTTCCCTGCTTAGAGGGAGTCAGCCATACATGAGAAGCCAGTAGGATGCCCCTTACAGCTGGGATACAAAATGAGGCCACATTCCCTTTAATATTCAAGCTCACTATCTCTCAGCCCCCATCCCACTGTGTTTCTTCCTTGCCCGCTTCCTCCCTGTCCCCAGTTCCATCTCTCAGGGGAGGGTTAGCCTCCCCTCATTCATTCCATCCAAGGGTTAGCCTTGGTTGCCCTTCCTTCAAGAGAGGAAGGCCAGGAAGCTTGCTTAGTGAGCTGAGGAATTCAGTTCCACATTTGCTGGAATCCTTAGTGCTTTAATACCGGTTGGTCATCCTTGGAAGATCTCCATATCCAGGGTGGGGCATTCCTGGCTTCATTCAGTGTCTTAGGCCTGCAGCGGGCAGTGAGGTGCAGCATTTGCTTCTCCAGGGGGAGGGCAGAAAAGGGGCTCTCTCTTCTCCTCCTGGCAGACTATGTTCAGTGTTATACCCCTTAATTCTGGCTATCCAGGGCCACGCTGCTTACCTTACGAGGGCCTGCAGAGCTGTAGTGCCTAGGAGAGAAGCGGAGACAAGCTGTGTCCCCAGCCGACCTCCCTTTCCCAGTTTCTGCTGCCCAGGAGAAACAGTGGCAGCTCCCCCATCATGAGTTCCAAGTCTGGCTCCTGCTTGTTGTCCTAGGATGAGGACATTTGTTTCAGGGGAAAAACTCCCACCTTGTGATCCACGTAAAGTGCTTGGCATAGCACTTGGGGTGCAGGGAGCCCTCACCACCATAGCTGCTGTCCCTGTGGGTCTGTGTTCAGGCAGGAGAACTGCCTGGAGTTGCAGGATGGGAGGGCGAGCCTTGGTCTGTGTCCACAATTACTTCGTCTCGTGTTATTCTCTGTCTTCAGTTCCCTTTGCTACCCCAAGTCTCTGGTAGTGTCCTGTTGAAAAGTTTGGCTCTTATTTGAGTTGTCAAGGAGAAGGCCACGTGTCCTTGCCCTCACCTTCAGTCGCTGTGCTGAGGGAAGCTGAAATTAGCACAATCCGCAAAGGGAAGGTGAACTTGGGGAGGAAGGGTAGGCTTTGGGCTCCAGTGGGCCTCAACTCAGCACTCACACAAACATACAGGCTTGTTTTTACTTTTGTGAAGGAAGATGGATTCCTTCGCACTAGGCTTTTTTAATCTTCGTAATATGCCTGCCCTAGGAAAGGCACTACTGTGCACCTCAAAGAGCCAAGGAAGGTGAGGACGGAGAAAGGTACATATTGTGCATAAGATCATACATTTGGTTGGGAGGCATAGCTGCAGTGCAGAGCCAGCTGTGTGTGCCCAAAGCCCCTGCTTCTTTAAAACACTGTACACTCACCCAGCAGGTCACATGGGATGGTGTTTTCATGGTACAGGAAAGATGTTTGTTTATCTTAAAGTATAACTTCACACTGGGTCAAGTTTCAAGATATAGACAATTGATATGGGATACAAATGTCCAAATGGTACACTGGATTGATAAAGATTTTACTCTGTTTAGGTATGGCAGATTTTCGGAAGAGTTTTGCAAAAGCAAAGCACATAGTCATCATCTCAGGCGCAGGTGTTAGTGCGGAAAGTGGTGTTCCGACTTTCAGAGGAGCTGGAGGTTACTGGAGAAAATGGCAAGCCCAGGTTTGTAATGTTTCCAGAACATGAAAAGCCTCTGTCGAATGAAACCGTAACAGAGTTTGACTCAGATCCTGTTCCGATCCCTGAAACCCTGGGGAAATGTTTTTAAGTTAACCGTGACCCTATTGTCTCATTGATTTTTGGCATAAACACAAAGTTCCTATGATTAAGATCAAAATTTAAGCAAGGCTGCCACTTTCCTTTCTTGATATGTATGGATTGCATTTATTCAGATAACAGTTTCTCCTAATAACTGTGTTAAAGTAAAATCAGAAAACTTTGGTTAGCATCATTTATTACTTTTCTAAAGTTATTGAACTTAAGTATGACACAAAGTTTCTGTGAACTTTTCATGTTAAAACTAATGTTGATTATTGAAGGGTTAGGATTTGATATTCAAAAATTTATAGGAAGGCCTTCAGAATGCAAGTTCTGTGAAGGTGTGGACTTTTTAAATTCAAGTTTTATGGAGATCTAATTTACATAAAGTAAAAGTCACCAGTTTTAAGTGTACAATTTAATGAGTTTTAATAAATGGACATAGTTGTTTAGCCAGCACCATAATCACAACGTAGAACATTTCTGTCCCTCCAGAACATTCCTTCATGGCCCTTTGCAGTCTGTGCTCTCCCATCCCACTGGCTCAGGAAATCCCTAGCTTTGGAAGACAAGGAATTGTTTGTTTGTTTGTTTGTTTGTTTGTTTGTTTGAGATGGAGGTTTGCTCTTGTTGCCCGGCTGGAGTAACAATGGCGTGATATCAGCTCACTGCAACCACCACCTCCCAGCTTCAAGCGATTCTCCTGCCTCAGCCTCCCGAGTAGCTGGGATTACAGGCATGCACCGCCACACCCAGCTAATTTTTGTATTTTTTAATAGAGACGGGGTCTCACCATGTTGGTCAGGCTGGTCTCAAACTCCTGACCTCAAGTGATCCACCCATCTTGGCCTCCCAAAGTGCTGGGATTACAGGCATGAGCCACTATGCCCGGTCTCTGTTTGTTTTATTCGTTGCACTGTCTCCAGCTCCCAGAACTCTGGCACATTATCGGTGCTTAATGGATTTTCATTGGCTGAACAAAAGCAGTCATAAATGAGTACTGCAATACATGTCTTCCATGGTTAGTAGCTCATTTCTCATTGAACGCAGAGTTTGTGAACCTGCCCCTTCCTTCTCCTGAACATCTGAGCCTGGCAGATGTTTGGGTGTTCTGCCTCCTGCCTGCTGCCCTCTGGGTGAAGGGTGGGGGTCATCACCTTAAAGGTGAAGTGGGGGAGAAAGGAGAGCAGAGAACATTAGGGGCCAGGAAGAAAGAGGGGCCACAGGGCATTCCCTGGATTAGCAGCAGCAGAGGGTGGGAGGTCAGAAAGTGTGGGAGGAGCTTGGAGGAGGGGCGCTTAGTTGTGTCCAAAAAGGCTCAGAGGTTGTGGACAAAGCAAAGAAGTCGATAGAATGCATTTGACTCCAATACCCTTCCAGGGACACCTGTGGACATGTTCCTGTACCGCCTATAAACTGCTCCAGGCCATGTGTTCTAGGTGGAGAGCAGGGTCGGTGTGGGCCAACCCCTCATATGGCAAAGACTGGCATTGCCACCAAGCAGAGGGGCCTTTACAGTAGAATGAAACGCACATGTGTGCAATGTAGGAAGCGTCTCCTTGATAGAGAAGCCATACTTCTTTTTAAAATTAATGTTATTGAGGCAGAATTTCCTTAGAATAAAATGCACCCACGTGCATTGTGCGTACAGGTTGATGAGTTTTGACAGGTGCATGCACCTGCATAACACCGCCACCTCCACTGTCAAGAAACAGAAATTTCAGTGATCGCTGAAAGTTCCCTGAGCCTCTCCCTGCCTGCTTCTGGCCCCAGATAACCCCTACTCGGCTCCTTTACCAGAAAGGAGGTTTGTTTCTCCCAGAATCATAGTTAAAGTATATGTATTTTATCTATTCTGTTTATATATAATATACACTTTTTATATGTAGCTGTGTATGTGTTTAGTTGTGTGTGTAGTTGCATGTATGTGTAGCTGTGTATGTATGTAGATGTGTATATTTCTGTGTGTGTAGGTGTGTGTGGTTTTGTGTGTAGGTGTGTATATGCAGATGTGTATAATTGTGTGTGCATATTAACAGATATGTGTGGTTGTGTATGTGTATAGTTGTGTGTATGTTGTGTAATTGTATGTTGTGTGTGTGCAGTTGTGTGTATGTAGATGTGTGTAGCTGTGTATGTAGATGTGTATGTATGTTTAGTTGTGTGTGTAGTTGTGTATGTAGTGTGTATGTTTAGTTGTGTGTATAGTTGTGTATGTAGTTGTATGTTTAGTTGTGTGTGTGTATAGTGTGTATGTGGATGTGTGTAGTTGTGTGTATATGTTCAGTTGTGTGTATGCAGTTGTGTGTATGTAGTATGTGTATGTTTAGCTGTGTGTGTAGTGCATGTGTGCAGTTGTGTGTGTATGTAGATGTGTGTAGTTTGTGTAGTAGTGTATGTGTGTTTGTGTGTGTACAGTTTATATGTAGATGTGTGTAGTTTGTGTAGTAGTGTATGTGTGTTTAGCTGTGTGTGTACAGTTTATATGTAGATGTGTGTAGTGTGTATATTTAGTTGTGTGTATAGTTGTGTGGATGTAGATGTGTGTAGTTGTGTGTGTATCTTTAGTGTGTGTGTAGTTATATGTATGTAGTTGTGTGTAGATGTGTGTAGTCGTCTGTATGTCTAGTTGTGTATGTGTGCAGTTGTGTGTGTCGATGTGTATAGTGTGTATGTATGTTGAGTTTGTGTGTGTGTATGTGTTTAGTTGTATGTGTGTAGATGTGTGTGTATGTAGATGTGTGTAGTCGTGTGTATGTCTAGTTGTGTGTGTGTGTGCAGTTGTGTGTGTGTCGATGTGTGTAGTGTGTATGTATGTTGTGTGTGTGATTGTGTATATGTGTTTAGTTGTATGTGTGTAGATGTGTGTGCATGTAGATGTGTGTAGTCGTTGTGTATGTCTAGTTGTGTGTATGTGTGTTCAGTTGTGTGTGTATGGTGTGTATGTATGTTGTGTGTGTGTGTGGTTGTGTGTATGTTCAGTTGTATGTGTGCAGATGTGTGTGTTTGTGTTTAGTTGTATGTGTGTAGATGTGTGTGTGTAGATGTGTGTAGTCGTGTGTATGTCTAGTTGTATGTATGTGTGTGCAGTTATGTGTGTGTCGATGTGTATAGTGTGTATGTTGAGTTGTGTGTATGTGTTTCGTTGTATGTATGTAGATGTGTGTGGATGTAGCTGTGTGTAGTTGTATGTGTGTGTGTATAGCCATAGCTATAGTTACCAAAACTGAGTTTCTCAACCATGGTCATTAGACTTCAATGGGCATTTTGCATTTCATGTTTTCCCTGGGTGTAGGTCAAAACGAGATCCACTTCATATGTTTTAGGGCTCCATGCAAAAGCGGATTCAACCCAAAATACCTTCCTGCATATTACTTTACTTCATCTTCACAACTTACTTGGGAGATAAATGGGACAGGTTGCATCATCCCTGCTTTGTCACTAAGGGAATTGACTGATTTCTCCAAGGTCCCTGGGCAGTCCCAGGATGGGGACGTAGGCTGGTATCCAGGCCCTGCCTGGCATCTGCCATGTTGTTTGAACCTAGTGCTGCCATCTTCAGCCTGTACCCTCCTGACGCTGCCTATCTCTGCCTTAGGGAGGAAGGGCCTGTGCCCCAGAGTTCAGCATCCTGGCTGCCCCTGCCTCGCCTCCCTCACTCCCGCCTCCTCTCCCACCCCCAGGACCTGGCGACTCCCCTGGCCTTTGCCCACAACCCATCCCGGGTGTGGGAGTTCTACCACTACCGGCGGGAGGTCATGGGGAGCAAGGAGCCCAACGCCGGGCACCGCGCCATAGCCGAGTGTGAGACCCGGCTGGGTAAGCAGGGCCGGCGAGTCGTGGTCATCACCCAGAACATCGATGAGCTGCACCGCAAGGCTGGCACCAAGAACCTTCTGGAGATCCACGGTGAGAGACCCCCAGCCTCATGTTCAGGGAACCAGCTTTAAAGCACCTGTCCTGCCATTTCAGCATCACCCCTGGTGCCTTCCCTCCCTCCCTGCTGGACACCCATCCCGTTCCCATAGGATGCTGTGGCATTTCCTTTGGAGACATGTTAGTGCCCGTGGCACCTGGGCATCTCCCTTTAGCCATGGGAGGAGCCTCTGACCCATAGTATTATTCACTCAGCAGTTCCTGCATCCTCGCTGCTCAGTGTGGTCAGAGCCAGTGACGTATGGCATCCCCCAAGAACTTGTTAGAAATGCGGAATCTCAGGCCCCATAGGACCCACTGAATCAGAATCTGCATTTTCCCATGAGCTCAGGTGGCTGGTGTGCTACTGAAGGAACGCTGGGGTGCACAGCTGCATGACCCCTTTCTCTGTGGAGGGGCATGGTGCTGTGAGACAACGGCCTCAATGAGCCAAGGAACAGGAGGCCTGGCTCATTGGACAGCCAGGGCTTGAGCAGGATTGGGCAGGGGCAGACTGCAGCATCTTGGGGTCTCCTTTCACTCTCCCTTCATCCTGGTGGGCACTCCCCACTGAGGCTGCGCTTCTGCCCCGCCCTGGAGCCTCAGAGAGCTGCCAGCTCAGTGCTGGACACTGCACCAAACCCACCAAGCCTATGATGTCGGTGGAGTTTGTCTAGGGTCCCTCTGGGCTCCTTCCTCTGTCCTGGGTGACCCCTCACTCCTTCACTCTTGTCTTCTGGTTCCTCCCTTCTTTGCTGTCACCACAAGTCTAATACATCCAGCTGTCCACAGTCATAATGGGCAAACTAGGGTTTCTCCCAAGGCCATTTGCATTTAAAGAGTCTGCAATCAGATTCAAGGAATGCATTTCATATTTTTTAAGCATTTATTTCTCTTAATTTTATTTAATTAATTAATTTACTTTTTTTAGCGATGAGGGTTTCACTCTTGCCCAGGCTGGGGTGCAATAGCTCGATCATAGCTCATTGCAGTCTTGAACTCCTGGCCTTAAGGGATCCTCCCACCTCAGCCTCCAGAGTAGCTGGGACTACAAGCACATGCCACCATGCCCAGATAATTTTTTAAATTTTTGTGGAGACAGTGTCTCACCATGTTGTCCAGGCTGGTCTCGAACTCTTGGCCTCAAGCAATCCTCCTTCCTCGGCCTCCCAAAGTTTTGGGATTACAGGCGTGAGCCACTGCGCCAGCCAAGAATGCATTTCTAAGTGTAGCATTTCCAGAGGCAGTGCACCAGTGGGGATGTTTGTTTTTGCGTGTGTGTGGTAAAGCTGCCTGCTTTTACTTAGGTCACCCTGATAAGGAAAGCGAGGCATTACTCATTTGGACTCTGCCTCTCTTTTGTTTGCCAGGAACAGCCAGCCACCTATTAACTGAGCATCTTTTTGGTACCTACATCTACTGGGTCTGAGCCACTTTCCACATGCCTCTGCTCATTTCCCTGCAATGTCAGAATGTGGCCTATGTCATCAGCATAAAACCGAGATGACAATGCCTACGTTACAGAATTGTTGTAAGGATTAAATAAGATCATATATGTGTGTTAGGACTTTTTTTAGTTTCAAATGATGAGAACTCTCTTCTAACTTAGGTTTAAAACAATCAATGGCATCTTCAGTCTGATGAAGGGTGTTTTAAGATGCGTCGTGTTTTTAATGTGGCATTTAGAATATAATCTACCTAAACCATGATATACTACTTTATTATCCCTTAGAATTGTTATTTTATACTTAGAGAGCTTGTTAAAAATGAGTATAATAAACTGGTCCAAATATTTCTCATTATCTAGCTCTTCTGAATTCTGAGTGTCTCAGAGCATGGATGTCTGTGTTTTCCATGCAGTTTCATGCTCTGTGCCTCAGGACATGGATGATGTGGCCTTTCCAGAGAGAATGCCCCTCTGTTAGAGCTGCGATTCTCATCCAAGCTCCTGGCACACCTTCCGCAGGTTCGCTATTGGGCCTGACATACTCTTACCAAAAGGCATCAGTGGAAAGACTGTAGACAACAGCCAAAACCCGCTTTCCTTCCTGAAGCGGCCCTTGAATGGTTTGTTGGTGGAAGGATCCAGGGGCTGAATCTGCCCGGTCAGGCCACAGAGAATAACAACCAAGTCACCCCACTTTTCAGTGTTCTCCTTCAGCAAGTCTGTGCAAGCATGATAGTGATGTCACACTCACATCTGGCCAGTAGCAATTGCAGGACACATCTGAATTTCAGAGATGTGAAAATGGGGAAAAATGTCTATACTAAAACTGACAAAACCGAGGAGCCTGGGGGTGCAGCTTATGTCATCGTTCCTCCTGGTCCCTGTCCCCCTCCTCCTCTCAGCTTTACTCACTCTTTGAGGTGGCCTCCCTTCTCCCTCTGCAATTGATCTGCCTCCACGTGCCAGGGGAGAGTGCCTCCGACAGCTCCAGGCTCTCCAGCTCAGCCACCTGCTCAGAAAATAAACCTCTGGGTGGGCTTGCTTGGTCCACACGCCCACCCTTCTGACCAAACACGACTGCAGAGGGATGGGCCCCCCATGGGGGCTGTGTGGAGCATGTGGCCGAACTTGTATTTGGGGTGTGACCCACAGCCCTATTGGCTCAGCACGCGAGAGAGCAGAGATGGTGCTCCCCAAGGAAGGACTCGGGGGCAGAACGGAGCAGCGCATGTCCACTGTGGTTGAAAGTGCTCTGCACGGTACCAGGTGCCTGGTACCCATTTCATAAACTGTGGCCCCCATGATTGCTTCAGCTCCATAAGTGGTCGTTAGTATTAGCAATTACTTTTTTCACTTAGTAGTTGATTACTTATTTATTGAGGTGCTTTTGTATAAAAGATTGAAGCTTTCTGAAATCGAAGTTAAGATTTTGTAAACATATCCCATGCCATTGAACCCTTATCCGTCATATCAATAAATCATGCCCTTAGATTTAGGCTGAGCTCCCTCTACCCTACTGGCTTCTTCTGCCCACTTGAACACCACTCCAAGGTCATCTGACGGCACGTTAGTCATGGAATTAGTTACTTTTCCTCCAGATTATAAAGTCCTTGAGGGCATATGTTCTTGACTGGCTTGAGTACTGCATGCCTCTGTTTCCCATGAAAGCTAGGGTAGGCCCATTTGCTAAAATGAAGTATGGCTCAGTGTGGCGGTGCACACCTATAGTCCCAGCTGCTCAGGAGGCAAAGGTGGGAGGATCGCTCGAGCCCAGGAGTTGGAAGCTGCAGTGAGCTATGATCGTACTACTACACTCCGGCCTGGGTAACTGGGTGAGACCAGAAAATGAAATGAAGTGTGGAAAGTGAAGTATCTTACACCCTTTCAGACGTGGAGACGATTGCTCTTGATTAGACTAAATTCTGGATTTGCTTCATATGTATTTTTCAGGTAGCTTATTTAAAACTCGATGTACCTCTTGTGGCGTTGTGGCTGAGAATTACAAGAGTCCAATTTGTCCAGCTTTATCAGGAAAAGGGTAATTATACCACACTACAGAATAAGTATATGTTGTTTTCTCCTTTAGGTCGGACATAAATGTGAGGAAATTGAACGTTCATCAAAGATTCCCATTGGTATTTATGAGAAATAAGACTAAATACAAGGCTGGGTGTGGTGGCTCATGCCTGTAATCCCAGCACTTTGGGGTTACAAGGTGGGAAGATTGCTTGAGTTCAGGAGTTCAAGATCAGCCTGGGCAACATAGTGAGAAACCTCTCTTACAAAAAAAAAAAAAAAAAATTTAGCTGGGTGTGGTGGCACATGACTGTAGTCCCACCTACTACAGAGGCTGAAGTGGGAGGGTTATTTGAGCCTGGGAAGTCGAGGCTGCAGTGAGCTGAGATCATGCCACCGCACCACAGCCTGGGTGACAGGGAGACCCTGTCTCAAAAAAAAAAAAAAAAAAAAAAAAACTAAATATAGCCTTGTGATAAAAGAAATATTTTGCTCACAGCTTACAGTGTTAAGTGAAAACCACATGGTCCTGAATTTATACACACATGAGTTTTTATATCTGCATATAGTTAAAAGACCAGAAGAAAATATAACAAAATATTAACAAGGAATATCAGGAGTGGAGGGATTATGGGTAATTTTTAATTTCTTCTTTATATCTTTCTGAATTTTCCTACATTTCTATGATGAATATGCACTATTGTTACAATGAGGAAAACATTTGAGGGTAGACACAATATTGAGGAAAATTCCATTTCAAAACAGTATAAATTATATAAGGAATGTATAATGTAATTGCAGAGGATACAAATGATGATGGTGTATAAAGGTAAACATGAAGTTCCCTCTTAGCACACCCAGCTACTCCAGCCCTCCCCACACACGAATTCTCTCACTGGCAGTACAACCACGGGTGATTTTTTTTTTTTTTTTTTTTTTTTCTGAGACAGAGTCTTGCTCTGTTTCCCAGGCTGGAGTACAGTGGCACAATCACACCTTACTGCAGCCTCCAACTCCTGGGCTCAAGCAATCCTCCTGCCTTAGCCTCCCAAGTAGCTAGGACTATAGGCATGCACCACACTGAGCTAATTTTTGTATTTCTGGTAGAAATGCAGTCTCACTATATTGCCCAGGCTGGTCTTGATCTTCTGGCCTCAAGCAGTCCTCCCACTCTGGCCTCACCAAATGCTGGGATTACAGGCATGAGCCACTATGCCCAGTACCACTGGTAATTAATGGCCTGGGGTCCTTCCTTCTAATGCCCTTCCAAGTGAGCATGTATTAATTAGGAGTTTTACACCACATACTACCAGGCAAATATACAAACTGAGTTATGTTGTTTATTTTTTATTATGCCAATAACAATCTTTCTTTTCTAATATTATTTACTTCAGTGCTCCAGAACCTGGAACTCAAGATGCCAGCATCCCAGTTGAGAAACTTCCCCGGTGGGTAAAAAACTCTGATTTGTACTAGTGTTCCAGGTTACAAAAAAAATAGGCATCAAAATCTAAACATGTATTTGGCAAGATGCCTCTTAAATCAAATGCACAAATGTAAAAACCAGCCTTGACCTCTGAGACCAAAAGTGAAAGGACAAAGGATGAACCAAATTAGGATGAAAAAAATGATTCCTTTCCAACCCCTTTTTGCTTTGTGTTCTGGCGGGATCATTTGAGGTCGGGAAAGTTTCTGAAGCTGTTGTGTGACAGGTGGTTACCCAGTGTACAGAAAGCATATGGGCTGACCTGTAACTGGTCAAATAACATCACTGGCATTATTAATCCATGGTTAAGGAGGCAATGAAAGGACGTGAATAGGAGAGGTTATAGGACCAAACAGAATGTTCATAGATTAAAAAAAAAAAAAAAAAAAAAGGAAGATTTTTATGCCAATTTTTCAAAACCAGACATTAAAACAGCACTTCTATAATCTGTAATTGGATCAGAGGTTTTTTTGTTGTGGGTTTTTTTTGTTTTTTTGTTTTTTTGTTTTTTTTTTTGAGATGGAATCTCACTCTGTTGCCCAGGCTGGAGTGCAGTGGCGCGATCTTGGCTCACTGTAATCTCTGCCTCCTGGGTTCAAGTGATTCTCCTGCCTCAGCCTCCCGAGTAGCTGGGATTACAGGCGCCTGCCACCACACCTGGCCATTTTTTGTGTTTTTAGTAGAGATGAGGTTTTGCCATGTTGGCCAGGCTGGTCTCGAGCTCTTGACCTCAGGTGATCCACCCACCTCAGCCTCCCAACATGCTGGGATTACGGGCAGGAGCCACCGCGCCTGGCTGGATTAGAGTGTTTTTAAGGTAAAATAAAACAGCACTTCTAAAAGTGTTTCATAGAACATTAATTTAATATTACGTTGAGAGACATTACTTGATAAAAACATGTTAGGCACTCAAATACAGAAACGTTAGACTAAACAAAGTTAAAATATGTTTGCTCTACTGTAGGAGTTTTCAAAGCATTTATTCCACATTGCTGCCTTCTAAAAAGTGGTTATAAAATGTATGTTAATGCTTTACTGACTTATTTAACCACAGAACCTTTTAAATTTTCCTTATGAGGGTTTTAATTGCTAAATATTAAAGTTTTCTTCTGAAGGAATAGGGAGACCTGGAGGACTTCTATGATGCAGGAGATTACGATGATGAAAATGGTGTTTGAGGGATGATTTTAGGAGGTGTATAGAAGGTGACCCTAAGGTAGGAGGGAGTGAAAGAAAGAGATTTTTAGTAATGGATACAGGAAAGCTGACTACATAACGGGGCCAGAGAGACGTGAACCTGAGAGCACATGAAAGGTCATGGATGAAATTAGGGGATGCTTGGGGTGGGAGGCAAACCTGAGTCCATTATGACTCCCAGGTCTGGGTGGCTGTGAGCACAAGTGTGAGCATAATGAAGGAACCGGGAAAGCTTAGCTGAAACAGTCTGTCAGCACATCAAGTACATAGAGACAAGATAAAAAATAAGGACAGTTCGGCAGGGCGCGGTGGCTCACGCCTGTCATCCCAGCACTTTGGGAGGCCGAGGCAGGCATATCATGAGGTCAGGAGTTTGAGACCAGCCTGGCCAACATAGTGAAACCCCGTCTCTACTAAAAATACAAAAATTAGCCGGGCGAGGTGGCGGGCGCCTGTAGTCCCAGCTACTCGGGAGGCTGAGGCAGGAGAATGGCGTGAACCCGGGAGGCAGAGCTTGCAGTGAGCCGAGACCAGGCCACTGCACTCCAGTCTGGGCTGCTAGTAGAGCCAGACTCCGTCTCAAAAAAAACAAAACGAAATAAAAAGGACCGTTAAACCTGATGCTTCACATGCAAGGCAAGTTTATATAGGCTGGGAGGAGGGTGTAGGGAATAAGAGGCATCAGAGGTGAACCATCTGGACGTACTGGGTTTGGGGTAGCCCCTGGCCACCCTCCGATCCAGCTGGGCAGACTTTGCTCGGGGTTGGCTCAAGGATCCCATTCTTCCAGGTGTGAAGAGGCCGGCTGCGGAGGCTTGCTGCGCCCTCACGTCGTGTGGTTTGGAGAAAACCTGGATCCTGCCGTTCTGGAGGAGGTTGACAAAGAGCTCGCCCGCTGTGATTTATGTCTAGTGGTGGGTCACGGCTTTCCCTAACCCCAAGACAGGACTGGAGTTTGTTATTTTTTCCTTCCCCCTCTCCTCTTTTCCTTCCTCGCTCCCTTGCTTCTTTCCTTCCCGCCTTCTCTCCCCCCTCCCCTTCTTCCTTTCCTTAAAATGTATGTTGAGAGGTCTTTGTGGTATCCTATAGAAAAACTGAGAAACAATGAATAAGACTTTATATTAAAATAGGAAACCATGCATGTCTTGGACATCTCAAAGCCTTCTCCCCCAGCCCTACCAAAAAAAAAAAAAGAAAAGAACATGCTATTGGTTTTTAAAATAATACGTGCTTATGATTAAATTTAATTGAGAACATGCAAAAATTATCACATTATAAAGAGGAAATTAGAAATCGCCCATAGTTTACTAATCAGAAATAGTTACCATTAGCAGTTTAGTATATTTTCTTCTAGACCAGGAGTGAGCAAACAGCAGCCTTTGGGCCAAATTGGGCCTGCTACCTGTTTTTGTAAATAAAGTTTTATTGGAACTCAGCCGCACTCATTCTTCCACACACTATGACTACTTTCAAACCACAGTGGCAGAGTTAAGTACTTGTGACAGAGACTGAATGGCCGCAAAGCCTGAAAAATTTACCGTGTGGTCCTTTTCAGAATAAGTTTGCCCACCTCTGGTCTAAACCTTTTCTTATGCAGATGTACACATATTAATTAAAATTCAAAGCCGAATTCATGACATGTTCTGTTTTGAAACGACTTTATTCACGCAGCAGTTCACTTAGCATATTCCATATCAGCACATCTAAATATCATCTTTCAGTTGACTGTATGGTGTTTTCTATGGATAGGGAATGATATATTTAGCTAATTCTCTACTGTAAGACATTTGGGCTATTTCGAATTTTGATATTTTAATCAATGATATCGTACATATCCTTAGATAGAAATCTTACCATGCTCTTCAAATGATTTCCTTAAGACACATTTCCTAAAAGTGGGATTAATTGGACAGATTGTATGCATATTTCAAATTTTTCTTGACACATCTTTAAAAGCAGAGGCACTTTCTTGTGGTGCATATTCATTCAGCCAGTATTTAAAGAATGCTTTCCAATGTCGAGTATAGTATCACTGTTGATGATGGATTGTTAAATGAGAAAAGCTGGTTTACAAACCAGTCATGCTCTTCCCTCCCTGCAAAGAATGTTTATAAGCAAATATTTATGAGAGAAAACCTAAGAGGACATACATGAAAATGTTAACAGTGGTTATCTTGGGGTAAGATTATTGATATGTATGTTTTTTCTTCGTATTTTCTACCTTTAACAAAAAGAAAATATGTTTTAAAAAGTGATAGATCATTTGCTTAACTTTAAAGCAGAAACAAAACCAGAACTACCCCCAAAACATGTTGAGTCACTTCTAAGTCACTCTTTTGTTAACTCTCCTTTTCATGTCACATATTCTTGTCGATTCTAGTGATTGATCAAAGGACACCTCTTCACTTTCCCTCATCCCTTGGACACCCTGTTTTATCCCATCCTGTTTGGCTTTTCTCACACATGCAACCACAGGCCTATCTGAATTTGTGTAAGGTTTTCTGAAAAAATGTTCCTTCTTGTCGTGTGGCCGTTTGTCCATCTCCACATGCTTGCCTTGTAGGTGGGCACTTCCTCTGTGGTGTACCCAGCAGCCATGTTTGCCCCCCAGGTGGCTGCCAGGGGCGTGCCAGTGGCGGAATTTAATACGGAGACCACCCCAGCTACGAACAGATTCAGGTACTGGGATACCCTGATGGGAGAGGGCGATGTGGGAGGCAGGTGCAGACATGGTCATCTCAACATAGTTGACCTACTCCTCTAATTTTTAAAAAAGACACAGGGTTTGTGTTTTTTTGTTTGATCTGCAGTTGCTTTTATGGAAGAACAAAATCATTCACTGTAGACTAAGGTAGGGTAGCTCTGTCATTGTACGCGACATTTGCCGTGGGACTTCTATTTGTTCACATTTTGAAAGCTCTTCTTTGATTCCTTAGGCTTTGCTTTCCCTTACATTTTTAAGCTAGACTTAGTGATGGCCTTTAGTTGTAGGTTACCCAGATGCTCCGCAAGTAAGCCTGGGAGATGCCCTTGCAGAACCTCATCACCTGCCGTTCTCACTGGGAGGCCACCTGGCAGATTCCCCTTTGGTCTAATCGCCAAGGTTATCTGTATCTGTGGCCATGTTATGACACTGATCCTGCTTCTCAAGTTTGGGTGGGAAGTGTAGATTGTCATAGTATGCATTTTTAGTCTTATTCCTGGGTCTGTTTGATGTCTTCACCCTTCTGTCTTTTTTCTCACTCCAACTTTTTTTTTGCCTTTACTTCTTATTCTTATCCATCTAGTTAATTCCTTTTGAATAAGTTAGACTATAAATAAGTAGTAAATGAATATAAATGAATAAAATAGAAAACTTCATTGAAACATCTTGTCATTACTTTAATCAGCAGTTTCCAACCTTGGCTGCATATTTTAAAAATACTGATGCCTGGGGGCCACTTCATGAAATTTCAGTGTCATTGCTCTGAGTTGCAGCCCAGACATCATCATTTGATAGGCTTCCTAGGTGATTCCAGTGTGCAGCCAGGATAGGAACCACTCCTCAAAGTCTCTGCTGGGATTTAAAAAAAAAAGGAAAAAAGAAAAGGGGCCACAGACACTTAAGTAGGCCCCTCCTCAGGTGAGTGAACTGGCTCTGGGCCTTTTCTTTTCCATGTGTCTTTTTGATCAGCTACAGCCTGTGTTCTTGATCCATAGTTCTTCATTTGTATGTGAGTAGTAGGAACTAAGAAGATAGCCTAAAAAAAAATTGCCTCCTATGCTAAACTTATACTTTGAAAACTATAGAACATTGTTGAAAGAAATAAAGAAGGCTTAAATGAATGGAAACATATCCAATGTTCATGGATTGGACAACTTAATATGATTAAGATGGCAATGCTCCCCAAATTGATCTATGGGCTCAATCAACTCAGTCCTTATCAAAATCACAACTGGCTTGTTACAGCAATTAATTGAAAAGATTACTCTAAAATTCATATGAAAATGCAAGTGACCCAAAATAGCCAAAACAAAATGAAAAATGAAGTTGGAGAACTCATACTTCCCAATTTCAAAACTTACCACATATTAGATGGGCATGGTGGCACATGCCTGTAATCCTAGCTACTTGGGAGGCTGAGGCAGGAGAATCAGTTGAACCTGGGAGGTGGAGGTTGCGGTGAGCCGAGATTGTGCCATTGCACTCCAGCCTGGGCAACAAGAGCAAAACTCCATCAAAAGAAAAAAAAAATCCTTACTACAAAGTTGCAGTAATCAAGATAGTGTGGCACTGGCATAGGATAGATATATAGAATCAGTGGAATAGAATTGAGAGTCCAGTAGAAAACAAAACAGAACAATAACACAAAACCTCACATTCATGGTCAGTTGATTTTTGAGAAGAGTGGCAAGACAATTTGATGAAATACAGTCTTTTTCAAGAAATAGTGCTGGATATCCACATGCAAAAGAATGAGCTTGGACCCCTCTGTCACACCATACACAAAAAATAACCCAAGATGGATCATAGACCTAAATGTAAGAACTAAAAGTATAACATGTCAAAAGAAAATGTAGGAGTAAATCTTTGTAACCTTGGGTTAGTGAAAGCTTTCTTAGATATGACACCAAAAGTGCAAGGAACGTAAGAAAAAAGGATAAATTGGACTTTATCAAAATTTAAAACTTTTATACTCCAATGGGTACCGTTAAGTAAAAAGACAACCCATAGAATGGGAGAAAATATTTGTAAGTCTAATATTTGATATTTGATAAGGGATTTGTATCCAGGATATATAAAGTACTCTTACAACTATAAATAATAAAAAGACAATCCAATTAAAAACCAGGTCAAAATATTTGAAACGCCATTTCTCCAAATATATACACATGGCCAATAAGCATACTGAAATGATGTTCAATATCATAAAACCACAACGAAATATCATCACTTCACAGCTACAAGTGTGGCTATAATTTTTAAGATAAAGGAAAATCACAAGTGTTGGTGAAGAAACTGGAACCCTTATACATGGCTGATGGGAATGTACAATGGGGCAGTCATTTTAGAAAACAATGTGGCAGTTAAATATAGAGTTACTATGTGATCTAGCAATTCTACTCCTTGGTATATAGTCCTAGAAATGAAATCACATCTACACAAAAATTTGTACACAAATGTTTATAGCAACTTGTTCATGGAAAAAGTGGAAACAACCCAAACGTCCATCGACTGAAGGATGAATAAATACAATTTGGTATGTTTGTACAATGCATTATATTTTAGCCGTAAAAAGAATGCGGTATCCGTATATGCTACTACATGGATGACCCTTGAAAACGTTATGCTAAGTGAAAGAAGCTGGTCATAAAAGACCACATATGGTATGACTTCATTTATATGAAATATCCAGAATAGGCAGATCAATAGAGAGAAGGTAGATGAGTGGGAGTAGATGAGTCGAGAAGATTTTGGCTGGGAGTAGGGAGGAATGGGGAGTGGGTGCTAATGAGAACAAGTTTCTTCGAGGTTGTTAAAAATGCTCTAAAAGTCTATTGTGGTGATGGTCGTATAAGTCTGTGAATACGCTAAAAGCCACTGAATTATATATTTGAAATAGGTGGATTGTATGTGAATCAAATCTCAATAAAGCTGTTATATAAAAAATTAAATTATCTTCTAACTTATCTCCTGAAAAATGCACATTAGGCCTCCCTCTGATTTGTGTTGTGGCACCTATGTGTAGCAGCTGGGCCCCTTAGCATGACTAGGAGTAGTAATACCAGAGCTAGGTAGTTCAAGCCTCCTGTCTGTTTGAAAGACCATCAGAAAACTCAAAGAGTGGGACAGGATGAACTTTGTGAAGCAGGACATGAGCTATGTCCCCAGTTTGGCTCTTCTAATACGGTTTCTTTTCAGTCATTTGATCTCTGTCTCATCTCTGATTATTATAAAGAATTAAAACAAATCATCATTGTAGAAAAGTAAGAAAATGCAGATAGAGAAAAAGAAGAAAATAAAACTGGAGTATTTCTACAATGCAGGTTTAGAGTTGGCCCCCACCTCCTGTGCCATGGACTGACCAGCGGTGGCCCAGCATCCCTTGCATATGGTGGCTGTGTTTTCATGTGAAAGAAACTGAACTTGGTGGTTTTTCCTGCCAGTTCAGAAGAGATTCTTGGCATGTAATATATATCATTGCACAAGTCAAGCCTCCTAAAACCACAGGCCTGTTTCAGCTGCTACTTCAGCCAAAATTCTTCAGCTTCATATTGTCTTGAAAACCTATGATTGTCTCTGACAAACAGGCTACTTGCTAGTTAGAAATTCTTATCAATTTGACAAGCTCCTTATCAACCAGACTGATCACAGGAACTGTCATCTGATCAATGAAGGAGTAACTGATCAATGAAGCCAGCAATGCTTTTTTCTTGGCATCATGAAAGCAGACATTTAGAAGAGATGCTGGTGATAGTCATCTCATCCTACTCAATTTTTCAAAGGCACAAACCAACCCTGGAGCAACTAAGAGGACTGTTTAAACACAGAGCTTAACAATGGCAGAATTTTATGTCTCATGCTTAACAGATTTTGGTTGAACTTTACCCTAGGTCAGGGGTCAGCAAACTACTGCCTGTGGGCCAAATTTGCCCACCACCTGTATCTGTAAATAAGGTTTCATTGGAACACAGCTGTGGCCCTATGTTTGTATATTGTGTGTGGCTGCTTTTGCACTAGGATGACAGAGGTGAATAGTTGCAGCAGAGACTGGCTGGTCTGCAAAGCCTAAAATCTGTCCTGTGTGGCCCTTTACAGAAAAAGTTTTCTAACCCCTGCTCTAGGTTAATGAGAAAAAAAAAAAAAAAAATGGAATAATGTTCCCTACTACTTTTAATCTGATTTTCTTTGTTACCTAAATAGGCGGCTAGAATGCTGCCTATATTTTGATAAGGATTTGGATCTCACAGAACACCTTAGGCCTTGCACAAGTTGTTCAGATTCTTTGCCCCAGTTCTAATCCCGAGACAAAGGCATAGAATTCTCCTCCCACAGGAATGTATTTATATTTTCAAGGTGTTAATTAGTTCCAGTTTTGGTTTTGTCATTTTCCCCATGCCCGATGCTTGTATTGGATGATTTCTGATAAACCCTGACTATCCCAGTAAACCCTAGGCATTTTTGAATTTAAACCTCAGTGTTTTGACTGTTAACCCCAGGGGGGCCTTATCTTGTTGGGATTTGTACATTCGTTGAGGCAAAAATGGGACTGTTGCTGCAGGGAGCTGGTAGGCAGGGCCTTCAAAGCACCTTCTGGCCACCGTGCCCTGTAGCCACTATGTTGTGCCCTGTTGATCTTTGAATTTCTCTAAACATTGGAATTTAATCAAAGTCCACAAATATTTATAAGTATCCACTATGTACCAGACACTGTTCTAAGTGCTTAGGATAGGACATAGCAGTAAACAAAACAAAAATCTCCCAAGGGAAGATTATATTCTAGTGGTGGAGGCAGACAGGTAAGCAGTGAACATAAGGTGCACATTCTACAGCATGTGAGCAGGTGCTAAGAGACCGCGCAAAGCAAAGATGGAGTTGTATGTGAGGGGGTTGGGCTGACAGGTTGCAGGATCCAGTTGGGTGGACCACAAACCTCATTAAGAAGAGATTTGAGCAAAGACTTCAAGGAGGTGGAGGAGGCAGCCAAAGAGGTGATCTGGGATAAGACCTTTCCAGACAGTGGGACCACCTGGAGCAGAGGCCCCTCAGTGTGGCTGGAGTGGAGTGAGGAAGAAGTCCCAGGAGAGGCGAGCAGTAAAGTAATGGAGTTGGGGGCCCTGGGGAGGGAAGACGCCCAAGCTATCTGCTGGTGGAGTTTAGAAGTCTAAGGAATTGTTAGGTAAGAGAGTTTTATAGATTGTTGTGGTTATATAGTTACCTATCTAGGGTGTGAAGAGGTCACTGCTTTGAAGTGATCGTTGACCGTGTGTGTTAGGGAGGTCTATCGCTCTCCCTGGCTGTGCTGTCAAGGGCGAGTAGGGAAGCCCTCCTAGTCTATGCAGTCAGGGCTTAGTTGGTCTGTTCATTCAAAAAGCCACTGAAAACAAGACTAATAGAAAAGGGCGCATACATACTTTAAACATTTTGATTTAAAGCATGAATGTACCTTCATTTCCTTTTTCTTTTCTTTTTTTTTTCTTTTTTGAGACAAAGTCTTGCTCTGTTGTCCAGGCTGGAGTGCATTGGCACAATCTCGGTTTACTGGAATCTGTGCCTCCCGGGCTCAAGCAATCCTCCCACCTAAGCCTCCCGAGTAGCTGGGGTTACAGGCGTGCACCACCACACCTGGCTAATTTTTGTAATTTTAGTAGAGATGGGATTTCACCACGTTGGACAGACAGGTCTCAAACTCCTGGCCTCAAGTGATCCATCTGCCTTGGCCTCCCGAAGTGCTGGGATTACAGGCGTGAGCCACTGCACTTGGCCTGCTTTTTTTTTTTTTTTTTTTGGAATAGAGCTAAAGGCCTTTTGTTTTCAGTAGGGATCTGCTGATTGGAGCTCACCTTTCTTACATAAATCGTATCCATAATCTTCCTCGTGTTCCCCAAATATCCCTGAAGATATGAATGACTCCAGCCCTTATTTTATTAAAAAAAAACAAAAACAAAAACAGACAACCAGGAAAATCAGATCCCAAGGCCCCCCACCTAGACTTCCTGAATCAGAATTTCCAGGGGGAGATGCCTGTTTATGTAGCTAGCAAATGACCCAGGTGATTCTTATCAAGAAACCTTGGCAAACACTGGATTACAACTTCTGTTTTTTGATATTTGTCTGTTTTGTTTTTTTTTTTCTTTTAAAGGAGAGCAAGAACTTAGGAAAAGAAACACGTGAAGCTGTCTTCCCCCGTCTTTTACACCTACACCTAATTTAACAGAATTATATTTAGTGACTCAGTATGTCTTTCCCAAGCATTCAGCTAGTTTTCCTAGAAATAACTCTCTTTTAACAGCTCTATTTTTGCAGTTTATTACATAATTTTAAATTCAGCGAGATGATTACATTAACCAATAAAAGTGGCATGAGCAGATGTGGAACTAACACTGTAGTCTTGGTTGTCCTGCAACTGGTGGGGGCAGGCAGAGTGCACAGATGTGCTAGAAAAGAGGCTTTCAAACAATGTTCATGTATGCCTTTCACATTTTACAAGTTGACATCTAAGGTTTTTTAAATCAAAAATATTACAGTTGGAGATGTCATTCCAAGTGCATTGGAAACACTGACTATTTATTTATTTATTTATTTATTTATTTATTTATTTTTATTTATTTATTTTTGAGACAGAGTCTGGCTCTGTTGCCCAGGCTGGACTGCAGTGGCACGATCTCAACTCACTGCAACCTCTGCCTCCCTGGTTCAAGCAATTCTCCTGCCTCAGCCTCCTGAGTAGCTAGGACTACAGGTGTGCGCCACCACACCCGGCTAATTTTTTGTATTTTTTTTAGTAGAGATGGGTTTTCACCACGTTTCCCAGGCTGGTCTAAAACTACTGACATCAGGCAATCTGCCTAGCTCGACCTCCCAAAAGTGCTGGGATTACAGGCGTGAGCCACTGTGCGTGGCCAAAACACTGACATTTTAAAATAAAAGCTACCATATCATGGTTTTAAATGTATGCAGTCCAATGTGAATGTTATAACTATCTGGTACACACCACCAATCCATTTACAAAATAAATATATAGCCCTTCCTTAACAATTGGAAATTTCACATTTTTTCTTTTCTCTTTGAACTTGTATTTCCATTCTATCACTACTACAGAATTTATACTAACGTAATATGTGTTTATGCATGAAAATCTTTTACTGGCCAGGTGCAGTGGCTCATGCCTGTAATCCCAGCCCTTTGGGAGGCTGAGGCGGGAGGATCACTTGAAGCCAGGAGTTCGGGACCAGCCTGGCCAACCTGGCAAAACCCTATCTATACTAAAAATACAAAAATTAGCCAGGCGTGGTGGTCCACAACTGTAATCCCAGCTACTCGGGAGGCTGAGGTGGGAGAATCCCTAAAGCCTGGGAGGCAGAAGCTGCAGTGAGCCGAGATCGTGCCACTGCACTCCAGCTTAGATGACAGAGTGAGACTCTGTCTTAAAAAAAAAAAAAAAAAAGAAAGAAAAGAAAATCTTTTACTGACTATCCTATTATACTTCTACAGCAAAATATCATATGAATTATTTAATTTTTTCAAATTCCTTAAAATGTTAAAAAATGTTTTACTAAAAAACTTCTAGATAGAATTATCACTATAGTAATCTGCAGTGCATAATTGTAAAAACAAAAACTATATATAAGTTTAGATAAATAATTCTAAACAAGTAAAATTTTATTGGAAATTCTTTTTTTTTTTTTTTTTTTTTTTTTTTTAGATGGAGTTTTACTCTTGATGCCCAGTCTGGAGTGCAGGGGTGCAGTCTCAGCTCACTGCAACCTCCATCTCCTGGATTCAAGCGATTCTTCTGCCTCAGCCTCCGGAGTAGCTGGGATCACAGGTGCCTGCCACGACACCCAGCTAATTTTTGTATTTTTAGTAGAGACAGGGTTTCACCATGTTGGCCAGGCTGGTCTCAAACTCCTGACCTCAAGTGATTTGCCCACCTCAGCCTCCCCAAGTGCTGGGGTTATAGGCGTGAGCCACCGCTCCCGGCCTGGAAATACATCCTTAATAGATGAATGGGACATAAACTTTGAATTGGTCCATGTATCTACGGCTGAGTGTTACATATTGCTGGAAGGAGACAGTTCCTCCTGTTCTAGCCCAATCCTCCTGTACTCACCATAAACCAACCAGTATTCTGTCCAGATCAGGTTTATTGATTTAATGCCATGAGGGAGACCAGACCCCAGCAGAACTGAGAAGTGTGTTTCCCAACAAGGGAAAGGTAGAGTTATTAAAGCAATTGGGGGGAGGGTGGAGTTTAAGTGAAATTTAAATGAAGTAGTTTTTGATAGACTCAAGCAACTAGCAGGGCTGTGCAATGTAAAGAGGTTAACATCATGTCTGGCTGGAGAAGTAGGCCAGGGTCCCCCTTCCCCAGAAACTGTAATACAAAGTTTAGATCAATGTGGACTGTTGTGTCCAGAAATCCCTTATCTGGAGCTCTGCACCCGGGTTGGAAATCCAGGCTGCTTCTCAGTATCAGAGTGACTTAGATCCTCAAGGCTAGAGGAATATTTCATTCTTTACTGCTATAATTTCAAATAGCAAAGTTTCCAATAGTTTATAATATTAAGGAACAAAATCCAAAAGCAGTAGTCACTCAAAGAATGGAATTAAGACACTTCACAGCTTACCCTTGGGGAAAATAGATTGTTTCCTGTGAACTTTGCAGCTGGCTTTACCTGTGTCTTTTATTCCGATCCAAAGAATCGCTGGGCAGATTTTGACCAGCCAAGCTACATTTTACTTTTTCAATGTCAGTTGTAATCCTCAGTGTTTGTTTGTTATAGATGTAAGTACTGAAAGACCTGGGCCACCTAAACTCTGGGCACAAGGGAATTATTTTTTTTAAGAGATTGGGGCTCCCTCTGTCACCCAGGCTGGAGTCCGTACAGTGGTATAATCATAGCTTCAAACTCCTGGCTCAGATAATCCGCCTGTAGTCCCAGCTACTGGGGAGGCTGAGGCAGGAGAATGGTGTGAACCCAGGAGGCGGAGCTTGCAGTGAGCCGAGATCGCGCCACTGCACTCCAGCCTGGGCGACAGAGCAAGACTCTGTCTCAAAAAAAAAAAAAGTATGTATATAAAATACATATATAGCACATATATGTATATTTTATACTTACAATTTCAATGAGTTTGGCAGTATAGTCCCAAAATACACTTTACTTGCACAGGTTCTCAGGATTTGAAAAGAACAAAAAAAATACACTTTGTAATCATGTCTCTTATGCCTTGAAATAAAATTCTTCTTTATGGCACATAAATTCTAGACATTTGCTTCTCAAAATTCCCATAGTCACAGAGGCCAGCCCATAGTGAAGTGTTGTAACTAGAGTTGTTAGAAACTAGATGAAAGAAGTGGGCATACAAATGAATACCATATTGATGAGAATTTGGGTTTTACTTTGAGTATTACTTAAGAAATAAGTGCTTGCTGAAGTAGGGCATTCATTTTGCTAACCCGTAGTTCATAACTGCTATATTTGCTTCTTCTCTTTCAGGTTTCATTTCCAGGGACCCTGTGGAACGACTCTTCCTGAAGCCCTTGCCCGTCATGAAAATGAAACTGTTTCTTAAGTGTCCTGGGGAAGAAAGAAATTAGAGTATATCTAAGAACTAGGCCACGTGCAGAGGAGAAATGGTCTTACGGGTGGTGAGCTGAATATTGAACAATCTAAGAATAGCCTCTGATTCCCTAGCTAGAATCCAACCTGTTGATAAGCGATGGGGGCTTAGAAGTAGCAAAGAGCACCCACATTCAAAAGTCACAGAACTGTAAAGTTAATGCATATTTTTGGTCTGCACTGAAACGTAAGAATAACTTTGATGTATATGGTTGGTTATTGGGCGGGAAAAATTTTGTAAATTAGATTGTCTTAAAAAAATATAGTTATCCTGATCATATTTTTGTTATTTGGGCAAGGTAGAAGTCGAGGGGTAAAAACCCTACTATTTAATTCTGATTTTTGCACAAGTTTTAGTGGAAAATAAAATCACACTCTATAGTAGGTAATTTATTATATAAAGATGTTACCCCAGGATATGGCTTTATGGGGGACCTTTTTTTTTTTTTTTTTTGAGACAGAGTTTCACTCTTGTTGCCCAGGCTGGAGTGCAATGGGGCGATCTCAGCTCACTGCAACCTCCACCTCCCGGGTTCAAGAGACTCTCCTGCCTCAGCCTGCTGAGTAGCTAGGATTACAGGCGTGCACCACCACGCCCGGCTAATTTTGTATTTTTAGTAGAGATGGGGTTCCTCCATGTTGGTCAGGCTGGTCTTGAACTCCCAACCTCAGGTGATCCGCCCACCTCGGCCTCCCAAAATGCTGGGATTACAGGCATGAACCACCGCGGCAGGCTTACTGGGGGCTTTTTAACCTTATTTGGCTACATTACCTCAGTGAACAAGAGGCAGCTCACAACAGGAACTCATGCAAAGAAGGAAGAGAATAGTACCAACAAGGTAGAACATCACGATGAGAAGAAAGAACGATGCAAATATGTGAACCCCCAGGATAAACACAGCTGCCTAAAATTTAGCTCTGGCTCCCTTAGAAGGGGGAAGAGTCAACAGTGGACTGTTTCTCAACGTCACAAATGCAGAAGCATATGGTTCCTGTGGGACCTGCCAGCCGTTCCCAGACACTGAACTCTGTTGGGAGTTTTTTCCATGGGATTTTAAAAAATGATGCCCTTATGTTGGGCCAGACCTCTGTTAACTTCAGTAGGGATGGCACCAGGTTCAAGGGGCCAAAGAAGAGACCTGGAGCCAGTGAAGGAAACATAGGGTATATTTGGGGAACTTTACAGGGTGGTCCAGTGGCAGCGGGCTGGACAGAACTGCAACCACTTAAAAAAAGCATGCAGTTTATATAGCACTTTCACTCAGCACCCTCCCCGCAGCAACCTCCAATGGCAAACCTCATTTCTTAAGTTATTGCTGTCAGTTGCATCTGCCATACAGGGTCATTCTCAGGGGATGCTTAAGTTATTTCCGTCGGGTACATTTTCCATACACTTTACTACCTTGGAGTAAAGTAGCAAGAATACAGCTTTTTCCCTAACCTTTACCAGCTAACTCAGTGCTTAGGGGCCTTGGAATGCCTGCTGCCCAACAAGTGTCAGAGGCCTGACTGGGAGGCATGGCCATTATCAACAGTGTATGAAGGTCATACATGACAGGGTCCCTTGGATCCAGTGGGCTTCCTGAAGTGATAACATACTTGGACCACATCACCTCAGCCCCTTGCACAATTGCATTTAATGTTACACCCTTGGCTTTTGTAGAAACAGGCAACAAGATACTGTCATATAAAACTTTGTACTGCATTACAAGGCATAACCTTTAATTAATCCCAATGGTACTTTTTGTGGGGAAGAGGGATGCTCATAGCCTATGGGGCGGCTGGAGAACTAGTCAGGGACCCTGAGGGCTCAATTTACACTTTACATGGGTGGGCCAAGGAGTTTACACTGAGGGCACTGGTAATACCTGTAATAGTCTTATAGTACTTATAAAGCAGTTTTGCACATAAAATACCGTCATGCACTTATAAGAAGTTTGTTCCTGGGCTGCTCCAAATTAACTGTATTCATTTTCCTAGTGTTAGCACAGTATCTCAGGGAGTCTGATTGTATTTTTGATTTGTAATCTCTATCTTAGACTAAGACCTAGAGATTTCAAACTGTTCTTTGCAATTCTTCTCATAATGAACCTCTGGTTCGGCAGCTTTTTTTTTTGTTCTTAAGTTTTACCATTTTTGTTCCTATTTGGTTTTGTTGTTTTTAAATTGGGAACTGCTTCTAAAACAGAAGACATGAAAGGAGAATTAAAAACACAATATATGTGTGAGATAGAATTATTCAACTTAACATTTATTAAACATCTGCCATATGATAGACATTAGAAATAAAATGACTAGCAAGACCTGGTCCTTCCCCTCAGGAGTTCACAGAACGGCTGGAGCAACTGTCATATCAACTGTTATGCAGCGCAGAAACTACATAGACATTTGTGCGGGTTCAGACCACAGCAAATAGAGATGGGCAGAGTGGGATGGGGTAGGGGGTAAGGTGCTTGACGTTTGCCTGGGTGGGAATTTTTGAAGTATGAAGAGGACTTCTGCCTGGGGGACTGCAGCAGTAGAGGGAAGAGCACGGTCGGTACAATTGCATTGCAGGTGTGAAACGGCTTGATTTGTTCAAAGAATGATGGATCATTTAGTATTGTATAATGGATGGGAGGAGAGAAACACAGCGATCACAAAGGGCCATGTTTGCCAGGAAATAAAATATACTTGGAAAAAAAGAGTACGTATGTGTATATACGACAAAACTCGGGTGCATTCTGTAGGGACCGGCGAAGCCATTCCTTCAGGAGATTTGCTCAGCATTGCCACGGGCCAGCTGCTGTTCCAGGCCGTGGGTTAGGAACCAGGAAGGGCATCGCTTCCACAGGGCCCACATCCTAACGGGCCTCGCCGCGGCTACGGGGCTGGGCAGGCCGAGGGCGCCGGGCTGTGCAAATTTCTTTAGAGCCGAGGTCTGTGGCCAGCGTCTTCGTCCGTCACAGGAGGGCTGACTGGCCACGGCGGCCATCTGCTAGAGCGCATTTCTTCCCATGAAACGCCATCTCCTCCGAAGTGCAGAGCGAACGCAGCCAAATCTTCAAACACTGATAAGCTGGATCCACTTGACGGAACCTAGGGCCAAAAAACTGCGGCGAGCAGCGCTTCGGGCCCGCTATTAACGGTTTTCTAAGCACTGGACAGCGTGAGCCGTGCCAGCCCTGTCTCGCCATCCCGGCCGAGGAGGGCAGCGCGATGGCTCTTCCCTGCCTTGGAACCAGCACCACTGCCAGCCGCTCTCGCAGACCATTTTCCGTGGCGTCCAACCGACCCTACGGCGGCCTTGGCGAGCCATGTGGAAAAAACACACCCACTGCCCATAGGCCACGCCCTTCCTGGCTTCGCGCATGCGCCCCGCCCGTCCTGAGGACCTCCCAACCTGCAGGGGGCGATGAAAGTCCGCTTGCTCTTCGCTTGCAGTTGCTTCCGAGTCAGAGGTCAGACGGTCTATCGCTGCGTGGGACATGGTGCAGCTGCGACCGCGCGCGTCTCGCGCCCCGGCGTCGGCGGAGGCGATGGTGGACGAGGGCCAGCCGGCCTCGGAGGAGGAGGAGGCGGAGCACGGGCTGTTGCTCGGTCAGCCCAGCAGCGGCGCGGCCGCCGAGCCGCTGGAGGAAGACGAGGAAGGGGACGATGAGTTTGACGACGAGGCCCCGGAGGAGCTGACTTTCGCCAGCGCCCAGGCGGAAGCGAGAGAAGAGGAGCGGCGAGTGCGGGAGACCGTGCGCAGGTTTGGAGCCCGCGGCCGTGCGGGGAGAACCGCCCCTTCTCGTCCCGCTTGTCCTTCCCTTTGCTGACTAGTCACCCTTCCTCCCAGGGATAAAACGCTCCTGAAGGAGAAGAGGAAGCGACGCGAGGAGCTGTTCATCGAACAGAAGGTTAGAGGATAGGGGGGAGGTGTCTTATTAAAACAACCCGGCCTGCGGATAATTCCCGTGGTGGATGTAATTTGGGTTGGTAGGATATTGAGTGGGGAAAAAGTCACCAAGATTTCCTCTGACAGTGGTAGAAAGATGCTTGGGCCGGGCGCGGCAGTACTTTAGGGGGACTAGGTGGGCGGAGCCCGGGATGTCGAGGCTGCCTTGAGCCTAGATCACACCACTGCGCTCCAGCCTGGGCAACAGAGCGAGAGACCCTGTCTCAAAAAAAAGAAAAAAAAAAAAAGCTCGTCTCCTTTAGTGTCCACCAACTGAAAATAAGAGGTTGCTGTGAGAATTAGGTGGTTTGTAAACTGTAAGGGCTGTACAAGACTTGGTGTATGGTTGCTTTGCTGTCTGATACACACTCGACACAGAGAACTGGCTCCAGGTGGACATTACTTAACGGCTTTCAGTTTGTAACAGTGACCTGAGGGTTGGAATACCGTGGGCACCTTTTCCAGTTTTCATCAAGTCTTTCAGAGAATATGGAGTTTTGTGGACCCAATCTTCCCATAACTTGGAGTGGAGGCAGTTTCCAACCTAATTCATTTCTTTGCCTAGATGTAGGGCATTCTTAAAAGTGGTAACTTCAGAAGCAACTCCGGACATACTGTGTACATGACTTTATTAATTTTAAACGTTTTCATTCCAAAAGAAAAGAAAACTCCTTCCAGACACTATTTTAGAGAAGTTAACCACAGCTTCACAGACTAAGTAAGTAATGGATCTTCTTATATTAGTTGCTTATATACACCCATCTTTGAATTATATACTGGTACATTTATTTGACTCCATATAGCTGAAGGAATTGTAGAACCCAAATTTAAAAGCTACCTTGGTATATGAATTTGGTGCGAAAGGAGGAGGTAACTTTACGTTTCGCTTATTTTGCCATTTTTTGAATTCCTCATCCCATTGTGTTCATTCAGTACATTTTGTTGATTGCCTGTCATTGTACTAGGGCAGAGTAGGTGGTGGTGAATACAAAGTGTTTTGAATCATTTAGTAGGGTAGCAGGCACTTATCCACAGGCTCTGAAAACTCAGTTTCTCCCATACTTGCCTTACCTACCACCAACCTGTCCTTCCTCCCTGTTCCCCACTTCATTTAGCATCTTTGGTGTTTTATGGTTTAAAGCGAAAAGGTATAGTCGTCCTTGGGAATCGGTCAAACCCTACTAAATTTAGCCTTCTAAATATTTGTATTTTTTGTTTCTCTCCTCTTTCTCTCCCCTTAAGGCTTTAAATTCAGAAATTTAGCCCCTTTTTGCTTAGGCCAGTGGCTCTCAAATTTTCAGTAAAAAAACTTTACCAAGAGTTACTCAGATCCTGAATACATTAAACATAACAGCAAATCTGTTTGGTGGCAAATTCCCTTTCGCTTTAAAACCAAGCTCAAGTGTCATGTTTACCTTTTCATTTGGCCCGCCCGCCTCCCATCACTTCCGCTTTTGTGTGGCCTTTCTCCTGTGCAAATGCTTCTGTATTGTATTCTGTCCATTTACATCTCTCCCTTGTTCACTGTCTCCTGTACCTACACTATTAAATTAATCCTTTGTGATTTCTCCAAATGAAATGAGGCAGGCGTACTACCATTCACTTCATATTTCAAATACTGTATAACTTGTTATTAAGTGTTTCACTTGAACTCCATTGCCCATAGCATTTTGCTGCTTTGGAAGCCTGCTAATAGGCTTTCAGATTTACATTGTGAAGATCTTCCAGTGATTGAGAGTTGGTGGCAGTGTACTGGGGAGTGACTGTTGCTTTCCAAACTGAGAGCTCCTGAGTAGAAACTGAGGCTGTTGGTAATGAAAGGGGGTGTCTTGCTTGTAAAGCCAGATGAAATAATATAACATGTTTTGAGTAACCTTTGCTATCTGCCATTCCAGTCAGTGGTTTTGTTTTTTCCCCTTAGTGTCAAGAAATTGCCAGGAAAGGTCAAAGAAGGTATGACTATTCTAATTTAAATAACTTCTCATGTAAGTGTCAAGTGCACTTGCAGATGTTTCCAGTCAAATATGAATGGCCCTTAGAAAGCCAGTACGGGCCTGGCCAAGGTTAGCTGGGGCCTATTCCCTGTATTTCATACAAATAAAAACTGCATCCACATGGGTGTGTAGTGGATGCTTAAAGTGAACTCCAGTAAATTTCCTGATTTATTTTTACATGAATGCTAATTAGCAAATGTAACTCCATTTTTTAGTTAATTTGGAAAAGAAAAATGAAGACTGTGAAAAAGGAAATGAGTCCAAGAAAGTTAAAGTACAAAAAGTACAGTCTGTCAGGTAATGAGTCTTTTGTTTCACTTGGGATGTAAAGGAGACCTCTAAGAGAGTTAACGTATTGGCTAACATGGGAAATATTTTAATTAGTAGTAATTTCAGATTGGATTCTCTGTGGAAAAATCAGTTTTGGGCTGGGCAAGGTGGCTCACACTTGTAATCCCAGCACTTTGGGAGGCTGAAGCAGGTGGATTGCTTGAGTCCAGGATTTCAAGACCAGCCTGGGCAACATGGTAAAGCCCAGTCTCTACACAAAATAAAAAAAGTAAGCTGGGTGTGCTGGTGTGTTCTACTAAAATATGAGTGTTAGTCTGTTTCTCGTAGTCCTGTAATTTAGTTTTATTCTATCTGTGCATATACAAAATTAGTTTCATTTATCACAGTGAGACAAATGATAAAAATATTTTAAAGCAAGCATGTAGGCCGGGTGCAGTGGCCCACGCCCGTAATCCCAGCACTTTGGGAGGCTGAGGCAGGCAAGTTGCTTGAACCTGGGAGGCAGAGGTTGCAATGAGCTGAGATCGCGCAGCCTGAATGACAGAGTGAGACTCTGTCTCGGCCGGGGGCGGGGGGAGGGGGGAGCAAGCATGTATTCTTTTTTAACCTTTCATACTGATGAACAGCCAGAATAAAAGCTACTTGGCCGTCAGGCTAAAAGACCAAGATCTGAAAGATTCAAGGCAACAAGCAGCACAAGCCTTCATACATAATTCATTATATGGGCCAGGAACCAACAGGACTACTGGTAAGTTTTTTATGGACTATTTTCCTCACTTTTTACTGCAAATAAAACTATGAAATGATAAATACCTTTCTTTTCTAGTAAATAAGTTCCTGTCTCTTGCCAACAAGAGGTTACCAGTGAAAAAGGCTGCTGTCCAGTTTTTGAATAATGCTTGGGGTAAGATCTAGCTTTATTCTCCTGTCTCTTAATAGCTTCATAGGTTGAATAATGTTCTTTTGAAGGAGATAGTTCATAATTATACTTTGGCCCCTTATAATGGCTTATATAACTTGTGAAAAACAGGTCAATGTAGTATGTATATACATCTAATGTATAATAAGCCTACCCAGTTTTAGTAATTACATTCATGTAGAGAATTATAAAAATTTTGAATTATGTTTCTCTAATACTCTTACTGCACAACTTTTTATTCTAGGAATCCAGAAAAAACAAAATGCCAAGAGGTTTAAAAGACGGTGGATGGTCAGAAAGATGAAAACTAAGAAGTAAATCAATGCTAAATGAAGAATCTGTACTTTGTATGTATAGAATTTATCTAATAAATTATTGGTAGATCATTTTAAAGGATCATAAAAATCATAAACCTATTTGAGGAATTACTCAACCACATTTCATTCTTCTGGAGTAGAATTGTGCCTTGCAATCCTAGAGCAAAAAGTGGTTTAAGAAGGAATTTTCTTTTTAATGTATTTAACTGAATTCAAGCCATACTCATACCAGCAATAGCACCTCGTCTACTCTCCCCGACTGGGGGGTGGGAGGGGTGGCAAAAAGGAGAAATGGACATTCCAGAAAAGTCTCCAACTGCAGCCCTTAGACAATTTGCTGTTAAAGATTCAGTGGACAAAATATAGCTAACAGCTTTTAAATTTTTACTTTTAACCAGTCTGGGGATTTGCTTGCCTGGTGAGTCTCATATGCCATATTATGAATATGAAAAAAAAGAAGTTAATTTCCTGTTGCCTTTCTGTGTCACCCATAATATCAGGTTTAACCCTAATCCAGGGATACCAGTAAACTGAAGGCAGTTTTAGGTTGTAGAACTCAGATTAATTGTAGAAACCATTAATTTTAATTGCTCTAATTTTCATATTAATCATAAAAAGTATGCAAGTACCTAGTATATAAACTCAATTGACACTGTATCTGTAGAAGTAAATTTTTAATGGCTGGTTAATTATATCACTACATTTTATTGCAATATAGTACTCATTTAAGCACTTAAAAATGGAAGGTGTACAAAGATTAAATTAAGACACGGTAAATTGACTAAATATTTGGTTTTTATATAAATAAAGGTCATAACCACACCGTTGACATGTAATACTGTTATAATACAACAGTTAAACTTGTGAGTCTACAACAGAAGTCATCTGTAGTTAAACAGGAAACAAAGTTGAAAAAGACCATGTTAAAACAAAACTACTGGGACTAACAGGTCGGGATTGTAAGTAGCAACAAACATATTCACTCAGCTCCTGAGTATTTCAAGTTTTACAGTACACATTAAAAATGATTTCTTCCATCAACACTATAAATTCAAACTGTCGGATGTTTATGCATTTTGCAAGTTACACTGATTGAATGCTTATATGGGAGTGGGGGTCGGAACATCTCCCAATTTGAAGTTTACATCACCCACATGCTAACACAAACACAACTTGTTCCATTTCCTTCCCCTTTCTCCCCCCTCCCCCACAAAGAAGGCAGGATTTTTGGTTTCTTTTAGGTAATTGTTTTAAAGGATTTGTGATGATCAATTTGAACGTCTGAAATTCAGTAATATTTAACTCTTAGACAACTAAGAGGTTAAAGATGGAAAATAATTTCTCCTAACACTAAGTTAGAAAATCATTTGCATCATGCTGTAAACTAGGAAGCAATGTAAAGCGACAAAAACCTGTCCCCAGTACATAATTTAAAAAATCTAAATTTCAAATCAGCAGAGCTGGTCTACTTCCATGTTGACTATATGCCACAATATAAGTGTGAGCTCTTGAAATGCATAGCTAATGTAGGTAGTCTTCCACTGTGGCAAATGCGCAGGATCCAATTCCTGATCGAGCCATCAGTCCTAGACATTGTGTGGCCTGTCCCATTGCTAGGGCAAGTGGAGGTTGCTTTGGCAGATTGTGGGTTTCTGAGGAAAAATAATTTAAAAATGAAAACAGCAATTAGCAAGACATTTTAAAAAACATTTCAATCAGGAGAATACTGCATGACTTTAAAAACTACCACTCCCATACCACTCTGAAATACCAGCAAATGAAGGTTCCTAAGCAAAAGATAGATAGATGCCTTGGACATACTATTCCAACAAGGTAGTATGGGTATTGTGTATTCAGCGATAAGATAAACTCTTGCAGAATCAGATTTTTAAAGTATCAGATACTAAAAAACTGATTTCCATATTAACTATGATGGGAAAGGTACAACTTTTTATTTGATATTTGGAGTGGAGAGTAAGGAATTATTTCCCTTCTGGTTGATCAAAGTCAGCTGATACTAAAACTAAAAAGGCACCAGGTTTTCATTATGAGTTTCCACTGATGGGTTCTTCCACCTCTGTGGATGGGACCAAACTGAGGCTGCCTAGCCATCTCCAAGGCATATATAGGTAATGTTATTTGGGCTGGTGGGGAGTAGGTGGTGGTGGTGACAGTGAGAGAACATACAGCAGAGCCACCCTGCAGTTTTGGAGGTGCTAATTTACAATGGACAGTTCAGACATTTAAAAAAAATGCCAATAAGTTTTCAGGGTCCTGCATATCATAAGTTTCTTTGTCAGACATTTGTAGTACAAATGCAATAATTACCAAAATTTGTTCCTTGCCAGAGATGAAAAAAATGAACTAATGGTAAAAGTGGCCAGACTCAGAAGCTGGTAATTTCTCTTTATGAGAAGGCAATGTCCAACTAATCAATAAAATTACTAATCAGTTCTTTCTAGGCACAGTTGACAACAAAGGGCAAAAACAGTGACACATGGCTAGGAAGGCTCCATATGGTTTAACTCCACTCTTGGTTCAGAGGATGCAAATTGATGGTGGGAGAAAGAAGAGGAAATTTGCAAAAGGGAAAAAGCATAAAATCAAAAAGAAGCAAATTCAGGACTTAGAAAACAAAACAAAAACAGGATTAAGAATAAAAGTGTGCAAAAAAGGCATGTAGACTGGTGAGAAAGTATGGTGTCTTGAGGGTTCACAGGGAAGACCGTGCTCAAAGGCAAGCATCTACAGGGAATATTTTTTAAATTTTATTTTGGTCAAAGGAAGCATCTGGTGATACATCTTTAACTTTTTTGGACATATGAAATTTTCATAACACTATATACAGATGGGCCCTACATAAATAGCATATTTATAAACATACCTATCTATAGCAATTTAATAATTGTGTCATTAATTTTATAGGAATCACATGGATTTATATTAATAAGATTAAGCACTATTTATAGCTGATTGTACATAATATAGCACAATATGTCAGAGTACATGTGTCTATAGATAATAGTGCTCAAATTCCCTTGAAGAACTCAAGAAATTAAAGAAAACGGGTCACTTTTTCTCAAATTCTTTCCAAGATTAGTATCTAATAATTAGGTCTTAATGATTACCTACAATATGGTAACTTCGAAAAGACAATTATAGTAAACCATAATTTTCTGTACAATTCCAGCATTATTACTAAGTTACTTTTATCAGTGGAGCTAAATGAATTTTGTAGAACCAATGAAAATATAACACATTAACCAAAGAAAATTCACATTTATATACAAATCCTAAATTTCAGAGAACTACAGCACTAAGGACACTACTCCTATTCCCAAACTTCAGTACTGATCCTTAACAAATTAATAAATTTTCTAAGGGCAAAGAAACAGACTGAGGCTCAAATATTAATGCTTTTGCTTGCGTCCTTTACATTCTTGCCATAAGAGTCCTGGCCCTCATTTGCAAGTCTCCTTATCTAAACTACTCTTCAATCTAATTTTTGTGGCACTGCCCTCGTCTTCCTAAAATAATTTGAAATATGTGACTAAAAGTCTGAACCTTGCAGGGCCAAACAGCACAGCACAAACTTCTAAACTAGACTGGAGTCCCAATTACCTGGGAATTAGACTCAAAGTCAAATAAAAACTCACTCTTTACGCAAATTACCTTTGATGAGAACTGCCCAAAACTCAAATTTGTTTTATGTAAACAATCGACCATACCACATTTATATAGAAATGCACAATGTGTGCAGTTACACAATTCATACAAAAAGTATTTGTTCAGTATATAAATACTAGAATCATACACTCTACAGTGAGTTGCTCATAGGAATGGCAACCAAACAGGAACATCGAATTAGAGTTTCACACTTCATGCTCACCCCTGGCTAAGCCTCACCTTTTAAATTGCTTTTCTCTTCCTCACCCACCCTTTGTATTGGGTGAGGGTATGTAGTTGAATCTGGCTAATATAAATGCAAATAGAATTTGACATCAAGGCTTGGTCCTGCAGGGTACTCACAAGTCACCTGGAAGGCCCTTGTGCTCGTATTCATAAGCATGGTGGGAGCTGTAATACCCGTGGCTTAGGCTGCCGCTACCCATTGCAAATAGCTTAAGCAAAATGGTGGGGAACGAGGTAACAGGGGAGCACCGGGTAGGAATCCTGCCCTCTACTGGATCAGTTTGAGCTTCTCTGATACTCAAGCTCTTCACTCCCTTATTTCCATTCTCATTCTCCACCAAAACCTCTATTTCCTGACTTTGATTTTCTTCAAATGTACCCTGTTCCCTTCTAGCCTAACTCTTGTGACAATTATTAATCTATGTTCTTGTTAACATTCTCCGATTCCTTCTACAACAGCCAAACTAGACAATGCCATGCAATTGCTAGCCTAGAAATCAGTAGCAGAAAATGCCTTTCACTACAGAGGGCTGTAAGGAATGTCTCTGGTAGGGCAATAGTTTGAATTATACAAAAGAACCACCAAATCTCTCATTCAAATGAAAGTAGACATTCGTGGCTACCAGAAATGCTTACATACATGCACAAAAAAACTTCTATTTCCCAAACATCCCAAATTGTACCCCGTTTTACTGTTTTTATTCTATTTAAATCCATTTGAATCTGGAATTAAAGGAGGGGGGTTTCTATATTTTAGGTATTTTTATATTTTAAAAATATAGAAAACATTCTCCTTATGATTTTACCAAAGTACAAATGCCGGTACAAACACCCTCTCTCAAATTTTCAGAGAATCTAGTTGAAATTGTGCCTTATTTGGCTTTACTTACCTAATATTGCACTGTTAAGAGCTGAGCACACAGGTTCTCTCTGAATCGGGTCAAGCTGATTTCCAACTGGGCTGTTCCAGGGATCTGAATATGCTAGTAAACTGAATGCATCCTGTTGAAAACACACCAATTTGGTTTTAATTAAAATAGTTCAACTCTTATGCTCTCAAATGTTTCCAAGTTGGGAGGTAAAATATGGCTTCCAGGCACTAGACTAATGTAACCTTTACACCCACTTACTCCTAGCACTGGGATGCTCTACATTTTTGAACAATTAAATTATGCAGCAAAGCCTAATTTATTTTCATTTTTCCTGTGGACAGCCATTCTCATTCATCTTCCTCCCATCCCTAAACACAAAACAGGAAAAAAAAAAAAAAAAAAAAATTCAAAGGAATGAACTAGTACAGGTGTAGTGAGAGTGGAAGGCCAAACATTCAGTTGTTTTACTTCACAATTTATTACTACTGATATGAATTTGACAGTCAAAGGAGAGGGCCTGCCTGCATTTCCTTTTTTCAACAGATTTAGGAACTGGACACATCTCACTGGATATCATCTTCTCAAATTCAGTTATGAAAAAATTGAACAGGCTGCCCTTCAGGACCTGTTTTATGCATTCAGTTATTTCCAGCTACTTTCAAGCCACTCCTCTTCAAAACTTAAAATAACTGACAGTCTTCTTTTCAAACAACTACTTTATATTTTTGTCGTCTTTCTATGGGAGGCACATACTAATAGTGGTTTCAGATACTGCCTTCAAATCCAAGCCCCACCACTAACTGGCTGTAAGTGCCAGTTTCATTATCTGCATAATGGAGACGATAAGAGGCCCTATTTCCTAGATTTGTATGAGAACTAAACGAAATTAGCAGTATCAGTTCATTCTAATCTTTCAATAAATGATGTCTTATTATTATGCCAAAGGTGAATACCCTAATCCAGAGCAATATTATACAGAAATTCAGAACACCCTTCCCAATTCGGAAGGCAGACATGGAGAGTTGCTGCAGAAACAGTCAATTTGTGAGTTCAGGAACATAACACTTTCAAAATGCTGACTACTGAAATTCCTAAAAAGCACCATCTCCTAGGTTCAGCTGCTCAAAAAATCAGATTCCACACCCATTTTCCATCATTTCTCTAGTTATCTTACTAGTGTTATGAAAGCAGAGGTGGGAGAGAGGCTCATGATCAACTGTACTCTTGCCCTTTCTCATCCAAATGAGCCTCTAATATTGTGGATTTAGAGAAGAATAACCCATGAAGAAATGCTGTGAAGTCAGTCTGAGACCACAAGGCATGGAATGCACGTGCCTCTACGCAAACATGACTCCTCCACTGTTTTATATTGCTGAATATTTCATTCTGGGTAGTTTTCTGCTCCAATTATAATAAGAGTTCTTTGAAGATAAAAATTATTTACTATGCTATTTTGAATCCCCTGAAGCTACTCAGGTGCTTGGTACAGGAAGATAATTCATATGCCTGTTGATAGCAAGACCTGCTTCTTCCAGCACTGAAGATGTTTTATGCATCCCACAAAGCTACTTGGTTCTACTTCCCAACCCATGGAAGGAACATACAATCCTTTATCTTGTAAAGCTAACCCAAATCAAACACATTATTTTGCTTTTGGCCGGGTGTGGTGGCTCACACCTGTTATCCCAGCACTTTGGGAAGCAGAGGCGGGCGGCTCATTTGAGGCCAGGAGTTCAAGACCAACCTGACCAACATGGTGAAACCCCATCTCTACTAAAAATACAAAAATTAGGCATGGTGGTGCATGCCTCTAATCCCAGCTACTCAGGAGGCTGAGGTAGGAGAATACCTTGAACCCAGGAAGCAGAGGTTGCAGTGAGCCAAGATCATGCCACTGCACTCCAGCCTGGATGACAGAGAGAGATTCCACTCAAAAAAAAAAAAAAAAAAAAAAAATCACGTTATTTTTAAAGATTGAGCTTTGCTCAAGACTTATCCCACAACCATCTGATGAGGGTACCATACCCATAGTATAGAAATAAATTTAAAAAGAAATACTGAACAATTTTTCCAAGGAATACTTGGTAAACAAAAACTTCAAGTACAAAATTATATTCACAGCCTAAACTTAACATACTACCAAAAATGTGAAATGTCGCAGTCCCAAATCTTAAGACTACACTGTCTAGTACAGCAAACCACCATGGCACATGTTTACCTATGTAACAAACCTGCACATCCTGCACATGTAACTTTTAAGTTCCTGTACCTTGGCACTTAAAGAAAAAAAAGACTACACTGTAGTGTTTAAAAACTCAGAGAAAAAGTTCTTTAAAATGACAATATATTGTGCACTAATATTGTATGAAGAAGTGTGTTAAGCACTAATATGGATCATCTATTTAATCCTTACAATAATCATTTAAGGTTAATATCATGTCTGTCATCTAGAGAAGCAAACTGAGGCAGTGAATAGTAAGATGCAGATTCTTTTAGTTACCAATCTAAATGTTAAGAAGAAAAAAAGTCTAAAATTTTTCTCTGGTATTTCAGTTTCAGTACAATTCAACATATGTTTACGGAATACAGCTGCCAGATATTGAGGATACACTGATGACCAGGACCTAGGCACTGCTTCAAGGAACTCACAAGTCTCCTGGGGAAGGCTTACATGTAAATAAATAACACACAGTACATCACTATTGACTTAATACATACAAACTGAGGCTGAGAGAAAGGAGAAAAAAGCATGGTTGGAAACATGGATAAGCGGTTAGATGCTAAAATACCCCAAAAAACATACTAAAAAGCTTGAAGTTTTTCCAATAAGGAAATAAGGTTTAAAATGAAGGAAACCGATATGGATTAGACTTCATTTTAGAAGGATCACACAACAACACTATAAAGCATGGCTTGAAATTAGAGTGAGGCTGTAAGCAACAAAACTAACAGGGCCTTAAAAAGAAAAAATGTTTTATACCATTAAACTCACAGTAGTAAACATCTAGGACTTTATTCTTTCTTCACAAAGGAAAATGAATGAAACTGGCAAAACAATACTAATGGTTTAAAGCCTGCTGTAAAAATTAACTGGTGATGATAACCAAAGAAATGCAAATAAGCAATTTTAAGATACTAACATATGTTAAACCCACTAAAGTAGCATTAATGTAGTAGTGCCATTGGTACGTTCTTTTATTACTGCTGGTGAAAGTTGATAGAGGGTTTCTGAAAACCAGTATAGCAACATGTAGTGAGAGCCACAATAATGTTCATATTATTTGACTCAATTCTATTTCTAGAACTTTATCTCAGTGGAATAATGTGAAGAAACAAAGATGCATGTATAAAGATGTCACTAAAGCATCTGACATAAAAGCAAATGGAAAAATCCAACAACAAAGCAATGTTGAAATAAACCTATACAGCAACAATAAAATATCATGGAGCCTTTTGTGTTTTTTGAGACAGGGTCTCACTATGTCACCCAGGCTGGAGTGCAGTGGTGCAATCACAGCTCACTGCAGCCTCGCACTCCTAGGATCAAACAATCCTCTTGCCTCGGCCTCCCAAAGTGTTGGGATTAGAGGTGTGAGCTGCCACACCCAGCCTTGTGTAGCCATTTAAAAATAATTGGAAATAATACATAGAAACTGGGAGGAAATAAATTCTTACAACAAAATAATACAAAATAGTGCCACCACGGTTATTAGCTAGTTAAAATAAATGCACATGGGAGTTAAGACACAAAACTGAAAATACCTGAAATATGTAGCATTATGGGTTATTTTAAAGCAAAAAACATTACTTCAGTGGAATAACTTCTCAGGGAAATATGACATCATTTAGGTAGGATTTTCAAATTGTACTCATATTTAGTTTAGAATCTGGAGCAGTTTCTAAATAGGGTGACTCTCAATGGTTCTATTGCTACTTCAGTTACTAGACTAAAGGCTCCTTGCAGGCTGGGGCTGTTCATTCATACTGGACTTTCCAGAGTCCCTACAACAATGCCTCTCCACACTGCAAAAATTCAATAAATAGCTGCTCAACAAACAATTTAAGAGTTCTTTTGGGAGCCACTGGAAGACGTAGCAGATAAGGAACAAAGACAACAGGAAAAGAGGAAAGAAGACTGAAAAAACTAAAAGGAAAAAGGTCAAGAGAAACAGTGTGCCACCTGACCTTCAACATTAATCAAATCTGTCTCTCTTGTGTGTGTGTGTCTGGATGTGCATGAACTTCTGAGTCACATGACTCAAAGTTTACGCAAACCTAAAAATGAGATTTTTAAAAAAATGCTACAGTTACAAGTGAACTGAAGTGACAAATAAAAAGTGGTGGAATGATTTCTAAACCTGTTTTCTCTTCATGTTGCCCTCAAATCATCCAGCCTTGTTCTTTGGCTACTTATAAGGTGGGTCAGTTACTCACCTTACCCCTATCTAGATCAAGGTAAGTTTGGGAAATGAGATGGAAGCAGCTCAGAGTATTAAGAAAGTCTCTGAAAGCAGCTGGCATTTGCTTAGAAGTTAGAGGTGCAAAATCAAAGATATCTATACTCTTTAGATGAAGATGATACATCTTCACACCCTTCAGTTTATAACCAAGGAGTATCTTTGGGAATTGGCCATATAATGCCATCTTCTGAGCTTCATGTAAATAAGAATCAAACACAAAGTAAGCTAATGGAGTATAATCTTAAAGTTTCAAAGGTACTTCGTTCTGCTCAATTAGCATGAAGTTTTAACAAGAAAGCCAAGTCAGATAGCCTAGTGTAAAAAAAAGTCTACGAATTCTTAAAAAAAAAAAAAAAATTCTTATTTCCAAATATGCCCTAAAACGACAGTACTCAAAGTATGGTTCAGGGATACCTGGGTCCAAGAACCTTTCAGGCGGTCTGTGAAGTCAACATTATTTTTATAATAGTACTAAGATGTTCCTTGCCCTTTTCTCTTTCATTTCCTCATGACTATACAGTGGAATTTTCCAGGGGCACATGATGTGATATCACAACAGACTAAAGGCAGTCTGGTCTTGTATGTGAATACAGATCACCTATTAAACCAAGCAATAAAGAGACTTAACAAAAAAATATAAAGCAATGCTACTCTTCTCATTTTTCTTTTTTTTTAAGAGACAAGGTCTCACTATGTTGCACAGGCTAAACCTGAACTCTTGGGCTCAAGTGATCCTCCTGCCTCAGCCTCCTGAGTAGCTGGGATTAAAGCCATGCACCACTGTGCCAGCTCTTCTTTTTGTTTGGGGAAGATAATTATTTTTCATAAAAATAACTTGCTTCTTATTTAATGGATTTATTTTTAAATGAATAGTTTTAATTTTAATAAGGTAACTATCGATAGATATAACACATTATATAAACAAAAACTCTTCGGGGATCCTTAATTTTTTTTTTTTGAGACAGAGTTTCGCTCTTGTTGCCCAGGCTGGAGTGCAATGGGGCGATCTCGACTCACCGCAACCTCCACCTACCCAGTTCAAGCAAGTCTCCTACCTCAGTCCCCCGAGTAGCTGGGATTACAGGCATGCGCCACCATGCCCGGCTAATTTTTTGTATTTTTAGTAGAGACGGGGTTTCTCCATGTTGGTCAGCCTGGTCTCGAACTCCCGACCTCAGGTGATCCACCCGCCTCGGCCTTCCAAAGTGCTGGGATTACAGGCATGAGCCACCGTGCCTGGCCCCTTAATAATTTTTAAAGGATTCAGACATCAAGTATGTTGAAAACAACTGCCCTAAAACATCCTCAGTACCAACCAAAGTAGTACTCAGTTTCCAAATGGGTAATTTTAGACACCTAAAATAACTTAATAAAGAGCCTAAGTGTTAAGTTTCTTAGCACTCCTAGTACCAGAAAAAGTTCTACCAAGTTGCATAGTAATGAAAATCCCCAATGTGGAAAAATCTATTTTACTTTTCAAATGAATTCTACTTCAATTTAATAAACACAGATTGACTAACTTGGTGCTACAGAATGGAGGCAGTCAATTAAGATAATATTTAAAAGGGGAAGAGTTAAGCTGGACACAGTGGCTCATGCCTATAATCCCAGCATTTTCAGAGGTCAAGGCAGGAGGATTGCTTGAGGCCCGGAGTTCAAGACCAGCCTTGGCAACACAGTGAGACCTCATCTCTACAAAGTTTAAAAATAAAAAATAAATAAATACAAAAAAGAGGAGTTTTAGCAGTCTGACTTCATGGAAATCTTAATCTCCTCAGGCAAATACGGACATTTTCCAGGTATATGAATGTCTGATTTGACTTTTTTTTTTTTTTTTTTGAGAGGGAGTCTGGCTCTGTCCAGTCCAGTCTGGAGTGCAGTGGCGCAATCTTGGCTCACTGCAATCTCCGCCTCTCGGGTTCATGCCGTTCTCCTGCCTCAGCCTCCCAAGTAACTGGGACTACAGGCGCCTGCCACCACGCCCGGCTAATTTTTTGTATTTTTAGTAGAGACGGGGTTTCACCATGTTAGCCAGGATGGTCTCGATCTCTTGACCTTGTGATCCACCCGCCTTGGCCTCCCAAAGTGCTGGGATTACAGGCATGAGCCACCACGCCCGGCCTGATTTGACTTTTTAAATTAAACTTGTTTCAATTGCATAATCCACCAATTATTTTTTATCTAGCATAAAAATAATAATTTAACTTTTTGGATAGCTCAAGGTAACCACTAGAAATAGCAGTTTTTATACTATCGAGTAGATGAAGTACGAAGTATGATAAATAAACCTGTCTTCCCATCTCAGCTAGGGAAAAATACAAGATTGCATGCCTTTAACTTGAGGTGTTACAGGTGGCTCAATAACCCATCCTAGGCCAGGCAAGCATGTTATGTCCTACACGTGTGCTATGTTTCAGATTTCAGATTTTTTCAAATTTTAAAATATTTACTGACTGAGCATCTCTAATCTAAAAATCCAAAATGTTCCCATGAGCATATCCTTGTGCATCATGCTGGCACTCTAAGTATCAGATTCCGCAGCATTTCAGATTTTCAGATTAGGGATACTCAACCTGTACCAACTCTCAGTCCAGGTCAGGAAGAGAAAGCAGAAGGAATCTTTTGCCCTTTCCTACCATCCCTAAACATCAGTCCCAAGGCCATTGCATTCATCTCCCCTTTAATTTTTCAGTCTTCTTCCAAAATATTCAGAAGAAAATGTTTACAATGAACCAACTGTTAAAGAGCTGTACATCTCTACAACTGCAATGCTGACTTAAGTTAGGAGAAAGCCCCTCCACCTTCAACTGGTAGAAAAAACTGTGGCTACTTTACTGAATTCGATCACATCCATCCTACCAGCTCATGGACAACAATCCAGAAGAGACTTTAAAATGTATTTTAACTGTTCTGGCCATGAAAAGTGACCCAATTCTTCACTAATCCCCATCAAAATGAGAACCATGTGTTATACATCCAAATTACTATAACCCTGAACAATATTTACTAAAATAAAATCTCAGATTTATAGTTTTATCTGCACACCCACATTTTTCCTAGTAACTGCTGATTTTACAGCTGAGAAAATAAAACTAAGAAACTAAGTTAACGAGGACACACAATGTTGATAAGCACTAGTACTGGGATTTAATCCTGTTTTTTTTTTTTTTTTTTTTTTTTGTGCTTTAGTACAATGCTCTTTCCAGCAGATGAGAACTGCCTAACTTCTTCAAACATTTCCACTCTCAAATGGGCAAGGAGCCAGGGGGAAGGTCAGGTCCTAGATCCCTAACAAGAATTTCTGGTACACTGCTCAATGTTTCGCAAAACTACATTTTAGTTCCTTTGACACATTTATAATTTTTCAAGAAAAAATATATTCACCTTCAACATTTTTTTATTTGCAGTGTTCTTGCCACAGTCTCTCCTTAGCTGTTCACTCATCGCTTGCAGCTCTCGTCCAAAGTGGATCATTCTTTCTATGGCGGCCTGACTTCCTCCACACAACTGGCGTCTCAACTGACTTGAATCAACTTCTGTAAGAAAAACAGACAAGTATTTTACTACCTTATGGAATAGAGTATAATGAAGACATGAACATACATTTCTTGTAACATTTTGTGCATTTAGTAACTATTCCCTAATATTTCATCTAAATATGCAGATTGTTAAAAATTCATTTTTAATTTAACATAAAACTGCAGCAAAAAGATATACTTTATTTAGCTCTCAAGAATCTAGGATCCAGTATTCAGCATGCAGTTGAGAGGGGACAACCTTTCAGTGTTAGAGGGTACTTATGTCAGAAAAAAATTTTAGAAAAAGTGTAATTCCCAAACTACATTAAGCAACATTTACAAAAAAAAAAAAAAGAAAGAAAAAGAAAACCGTAATAATGCCACTCAGGTTACCTTAATTGACATAGTAGAGATGTAATAAAATGTTCAAGAAAGCTAAGAAAACCTAAATGACTACAATAAAAATACAGAAGACAGCATATTATACTAATTGAAAAGATTAAATGCACTACTTTTTGAAAAATACCACTTTGAGAAAATACTTTTTTTTTGGAGTCTCACTTAGTCGCCCAAGCTGGAGTGCAGTGGTGTGATCTCAGCTCAATGCAACCTCCGCCTCCCGGGTTCAAGCAAGTCTCCTGCCTCGGCCTCCTGAGTAGCTGGGATTACAGGCACACGCCACCATGCCTGACTAATTTTTGTATTTTTAGCAGAGTCGGGGTTTCACCATATTGGTCAGGCTGGTCTCAAACTCCTGACCTTGTGATCCACCTGCCTCGGCCTCCCAAAGTGCTGAGATTACAGGCATGAGCCACCTAGGCCAGCCAAGAAAATAATTTTATATATCTTGATTGGTAAAATAATTTATATAAATTACTAATAAATAAATCATTAATAATGAAGAAGGTAACGATGATGATGGTGATTAATATTTCCTAAGCACTCTGTGCTATCAGCTTTTTGCATTCTTCATTTACTTTTCACAATAACTTATGAGGTTATTATTATACCCATTTTACAGATGAAGAAACTGAGACACAGAGCAGTTAAGTAATTTTTCCAAGGTCACACAGCTAGTAGGTGGCAGTTGCAGAAATCAAATCTATGTAATCTGGCTCTAGAACTCCTGCTCTTTATCACTATACTTAAATTACTCTTCAGAAACTGAGATGGCTGATATTAAAGAGTAAAACAAAGCTGCATTTCTTTTTAAAAAACAATTTTTGTAATATCACTCAATCTCAAAATAAGAAGAAATCTAACATTGCCATGGAATTCCAACAAATAAATGAAAAAATTTATTCCAACAAATTTTCACTCTCCATTTGATGGGATAGTTTGCTGATGGGACAGGCAATTTACTACGTAAGTTGTCTACAAAATAAAATTACGCATGCTAATGTGTCTTGGAACCACATCATTTTGTTATTTGTGGTGGGGGTTTTTTTGGTGAGGGAGATCATACTTAAGCATCTACTATATATCAGGGATAGTACTATGCATAGTCACACACGTTTACATTAAACCCATTTAAGAAATCCTGATTAGCATTTGTAAAATCATCTACCCATTTGGCCTTACTGACTATACTGAAATAAATATAAGAAGTTTTATCATCTCTAACCTAAAATAGCCTAGAGGCTCAACACCAGTAAGTCAGTTCTGCTGCATTAGTGACAGCGCTAAACCTGAGCCTAAGCAATTCAGCAAGGAACACTGCCTGTAGCGGAAAGGTAACTCTATTTTCTCTAGCAGCCCACTCAAACAAGAGTTTTTAAGTGCTATGCATTACTG